GGGCATATTTGAGAAGCCAGTGGTAGTGGCCCTTTGTGGAGGCGTTTAAACATGCGATAACATGCAAAATTACACCCGCCATGGTCCTTGGCCCAGGTGGTGGCTTATGCTGCAAAGCCTGACCGATCCGAACGTCAGGCTTCTCCCTGAAGTGAAGGCGCCAATAGACTGTCTTTTGATTTGATGGAGTGAGTCGGAGTTTCCAAAAATGTAGTACTTGTCAGCATACTTCAAGCAACCGCAAGACCAGAAAGGAATTCCTTTAGGTCGCTGCACTTTGCATTTTGAAAAGAACCGATGATGCGCAGCTGATGCTTTGGAAGAATCCCAAGAAACGCTTTGCTGATTTTGGAATTGCACATTGAGCCGTCCCATGTGCAGGAAATAGGCGGCTTGCCATTGCATTGGTTGAAATTGTGCAGAATCTTGTCTAAGATGTTGAATAGATGATGCTTTGCCATGGCCAGCACCTCGCTCCATTGGCACCAGGTTGCAATCGTAGATGTGCTTTGAGCAATCTCCTCTTGCAACACAAAACGAAACAGACATTCAGCTGGCTGTTTCATGGTCTATGACTGCGGCATCCGCAACCGGTCGGATACTCAAATCATCTACACCGTTGGCACTGTATGGGCCGCCCACCCAAACCTTGACCTTTTCCCCAGCCTTCACCATCTCATAGCTTGGAAACCAATAGGTCTCATCTAAGGCCAGCACCGCGCTGCCTCAAGCGCTCGTAACCACAAATAAGATCAAAGAAGGACATGTAGATACATGTAGGGAGCGCGTTTGCACACGATAGACCAGTCATCGGACTGCTGGATTAGCATGTGTTGGTGTATGGATTGACCAATGTTCAAAAGCGTTGATCTTTGAGAAAGTGACCTCATTTCAGGCATTTCAAGGTCTTCGCGTTCAAGTTGCCTACAAAGATCTAAGCACCAACAAATTGCAATCCCATAACTCCTATAAAGCTGCGCACAGATAGTTTGGACAATTTTGGACACTTTCATGATCTTTCATGTCATACGCGTGTCTTGGAAGATATTGGGAGTCAAGGATGAAGCTAGTAAAAGCAGGGTCAAGGCATGAGGGACCAGATGGGACTAAAGGGATCCACAAAGGTGACACACAGCAGGGCGGCCGAGAAACTGTCTCGCTGTCGCTCATCGCTGCGGCAAGTCATGAAAAAGTCGTTGAACATCTCCATGTTTGCTGAGAGTTGCTTTGGCATGGGCTTTGCGTTCACACCGAAGCGCTGGAGCAGCAACGCGCTCTCCTTGGCATGCCCGACAGTGTGGATATATGCTTCGATGACGTCGGCGTTCATGATGAACTTGCTGGTGCCAACCCGTTGAAGCTTGCCCCGCTTCATTTTGTCCAGCGTGCAGGAAAATGATTGGATGACAGCACATACAACTGCATCACCGGAGAGGACTCCAGATGCGATCTGGGCTGCTATCTTGTAATCAGACTTTTGCAGCTTGCCCTCTGCAATCTGTCCACAGTACTTGGAAACAAGCGTGCTAAAGACGTCTTTCTCCACATCACCGGGGAACAAATGGCAGAGCCGGGCCTCCACATGCGATAGCCATCGGTGGACCCCTTCAGTCCTGTGGTTGTTCGCAATGCCAAGCAGCCTTGTCGGAATTGTTTTCAGCTGATGGCCAACCTCAGCCACAGAAAGTCATGCCAAATCACTGCACCACAAGGCAGGCTTCACAACACCTTATGCTTTCGATTGCTCTCGTGCGCTCTGTTTTAATCTGTTTTTCCCTGTTTTAGCCCCCACACGCCCCCACCAATCCCCACCATCTCTCACCATCTCTCGACAGTCTGGGTGTCATAATGTGATCGAATCGTATCGGCTTCTTGTTGCTTTCTTTCATTTTCTAATATGTTCTTTCATATTCAATATTTTGCAATATTTCGCATATTATTGTTTCAAGTTGCTTCAATATGCTTCAAGAACTTCGCAGTAGGGGGATGGTTGATGCATTTTGGAGCTCCTCCCGCTTTCCCCAAGGCTGGCCACCGGTACGTCCCTCATACACGTGCTGCGCCTGAGCGAGAAGCACGAGCGCGTGTACATGGCTTCTCCCCTTGACCCTGTGGACCGCGTAAGCCAGGTGGGATTTGTCTACCGACAGTCAAGGTTTTGCGGCACAACATGATGCTCATTGCAAAGATTGGCCACTCGGAAGCCAGCGTCCTCACACGGCTGGATTCTGGTGACCTCGACATTGAGCATGACCCAGACCCGGCGAAAGACAATCCGCCGCCAGCGGTGTGCATGACTCCAGCACAGTTTGGGCGGTCAGCGGTCGGTGCCAAGAACACACAGACGTACTTGCAGAAGTTGCCGCGCCTCTTCGCTGACAGGGACAGCCGAGTTCCGCTCCTAACCTCCTGGGAGAAGGTGTGCGCAAAGGCCCCCGGCTACGTTTGTGCGTGTGTCCTTGTTCTATTTGTAGGATCCACTGTTTCTTTTGTGTGTGTGTGTGTGTGCGTCCGCGTGTGTGTGGGTGTGTCCGGATATGTCCGGATATGTCCGGATATATCCGGACATGTCTGAATAGATGGCCGTGGTAGATGATGAAGAAATATATAGAAATAATTAGAAACAACAACATGCCGCCGGGCCGTTTTCCGTCGGTCGTTTTTCTTGAAATCTCTTCACTGGTGCCGAGGTGAGGCAGCACTGAAGCGGGTGGCAGCTTTTGCAAAACATGTGGAGTACCTCGGCCCTCCGGTGCTGATGGTGAAGCCATCTTAGGGTAGACATGGGTAGACCTCAAGCCTAAGCGCTTCCATTTGCCCACGTTAGCTCAACAGTCGTTTGTGGCACTTTGCAATCACAGCTAAGAAGTGTTGCGTATTGTTGCATGTTGGAAAGCGATTTCTCGCGCGCCTCATGCAAATCGAGGTAAGATGAGGTTTTGCTGCCGGGAGTGATCAAAATTGATCCTAGCACTTGCGCAGCAGGGGTGGGGCAGAAGCGGGGCAGAAAAGCGATGTCGCAGCTTAATCCTACTCACTTTTTGCATTTGCGTGTGGGCATATGTGGGCATACTTGTGGAGGAGTTCTTGCTAGTCGCAGCAGAAGCGCTTGAGGCCAGCCCACGCCAACCCAGCTCGAACCAAGCCTGCCCGACATGTTTTGCAACGGGCGTTGGACATGACGTGAGATGACAGAAGCCCACTACACCGTCTAACGCAAGGGTGAAAAGGTTGTCCATTGTTCCCGGGGATGGTGAGATTTATATATATATATATATATTTGGATAATTTTGGATATGTTTGGATACATTTGGACATGGTTGGACCCATTGCGCAGCTATCTGTGACATGTGGCCTCTTGCCGGTTGCCTCTTGATTTTCCCACATCCGTTTGATTCCGATCTAAAAGTGTCTCGAAAGGTGCACTTATTGCTGAGATCTCCTGTCACTGGTTTCATCTAACTGTGGCTGGTTATGATTATGATCCAGAATGATCCAGAAAAAGCGCTTGGTACGCCACCAGCGCCGAGGTGGTTTGGTTGGTTGTGAACAACCGCAGAAAGGGTACCAGCTTTGACCATAACTTGCTGCAGGTGGACCGGACAGAAGGCCTTTGGAGGCAAGCTCTTCATGCTGTTCTTTAGTTCCACGCGTGATCGCGCGTGTGAAGAGGGATCGCTTTGGGGCAGGGCTTCCCGTTGTGAGGGTGTTGTTGTTGGCATTTGTCTTCAAGGTTAAACATGGTTAAGCCATGTTCCTTGAAGCAGCCACTTGCATTGGTTGATCGAACGTAGCCATCAGTTCGTGTATGGACCCATATGGACCCCATGGTCTCCCCCCCATGTCCCCCCAAAAAATAGGCGTTCAAGTCCATGTTGGCCTTCCTCAAACTACTTGCCAAGCAAACTTCCTCAGGGCTCGCCCCTCAGAAAAACATGGCTCCAAGTTTGTTGCGGTTTTCCATGGTTTCCCTCAAAAAAGTCCCCAAAAGGCGGGCAAACCAGGACGCTTCATAGAACTTACACAACGGGGGGTGCCTGGTTTTGCATACCCTCTGCGTGTTTTGGCAGTCTGGCGTGCCAGGCACGACATCTGAGCACGCCAGCAAACGTGCCTTTGGGAGCACGCTGAGCTCTTGAAGAGTCTGCCAGAATTTGGGAAGTTCGGTGTCGTCAGTTTTTCATAGTTTTTCTGTTTGTTGCCTGCGACAACGGTGTGGAAGCAAATGGAAGCGATCAGCCGTCTGACACTACAACAACCAAGTTCTCACGGTTTGCGGAGGTGCGCGCAGAAAGCTGCGCCATATTACATCTTTGGTTTCTTGATGTTTCTTGGGGTTTCAAGGCCTCAAACCCCCCGAAATAAATGAAAAATGCTATGGACCCCCGTCCATGTGAAATTTCACCCCCCCCCCGTCCACCTTTAAGGGTGGGGCCATGCGAAAAAGAAACCATCTCATTTGGCAAGTTTGCCAGTTGAGGCAACTTGAGGGCAGGGACACCTTGCGGCTATGGCCATGACGTCGGGTTTTTTTTAGGTGGTTTTTTCATGTCAGCAGAGAGCAGTGGGCAATATTGCTGGAGCATATGCCCTGTTGCTTTGGACATATTTGCCCTTTCGTGAACTGCTTTGCCCAGCTGTCAGTTTACGTTGTCGTGAGCCCATCGCTGCACTTTTTTGTGCTTTGTTTGGCAAGATGAAGATGCTGCCTGTTTGGGAGGAATTGGGGTAACAAATCTACTTGATTGTCCGCCGGGTGACACCTTTCTGTGAGTGAAAACGAGTGCCAAGGGCGGCTCAACTGGGCTCGTCTCCGGACAGTGCAGCCCTGGAGTGGTTTTTCCGTTTGGTTTCCCTTTAGCGCAGCCCCACACCCAGAAACAATATTGACCACCAAAATATGCCTTGTTCTTTGCAGCCTCAAAAACCCAACTTCAAGGAGTACACTCCGAGATTGGTTCCCAGTCCCGTTTGTGCCAAACTGCTTCTGCACACTCGAGGCGCAGCTGGCGGAGGCCCAAAGAGCAAGACGGAGCCTCGGGGCCTCGGTGCTCGCTTCGGTCCACAGCACCCCTAGACTTCTGTCATTCATGTGTTTTACTGGCCGTCCTGCCAAGGCATTTCTTGGGAAAACCATGCGCTACGCGAGACAGCGCGCAGAGCGGCGCAGACAGATAGCACAGGAGCCATAGATGTGAAGGTCGCCTGCTTCTTGCACAGAGAGACAGCGCACAGAGCAGTGCAGACTCCATGCCTTGGTTCATACAAGGTGGAGAAAACCGCGAAAGTCGTGGGGCGATGTTTCAGCCGTGACAACGGCAGGTTGGGTGTGACTGGCCCTCCCGGCCCCCCCCCCCCCCCGCGCATTCGAGGGTGTGTAAAACAAATACTTGCTCGGCAAGGAGAATCAAGTTGGGTTGCTTTGGCTGACGCGGTCTGTCGGTTTTGTGCCCCGCGCCGAGGCTCTCGGCTGAAAGTCCAGCTGCGGGACTTGGACGCCGAGTTGCAGGTGGCCAACGAGGCGACCGTTCTAGTCCAGAACTTTCTGTCTATGACAAGAATTTCCCTAGCAACAGATCAACGAACCCTGAGACTACCTGAGTGTGTGTGGACTGTATATTTGGGGAAGCCGTGCAACACAAAATTTGGATTTTTTGGCCGATTCGCTGAGAGCTTGATCGAGCAAGGGCGCAGTGGCATATTGACTCAGGTTCCAGGTAGGATCTTGTTAGATGAACAAGAGGGTGCTTTCGCCCAAATGTGAAGAGTTCGCATCCCTACTGTGGCTGGATAAAGCTTCGCACGAATTGATAGCTGGTTTGATCTCATATTCACATTCACTCCCCCCCCAATAATAGTTCCGCCCCCCTTCTGCCGAGAAAAGATATTGAGCAATTCGCTCGGGGGGAGAACAACATTTATTGGCAGGGTACATTCGGGTACCAAAGGGATTCCGCTGCGGTCCGTCCACGGGGTCCAAGAATCGTTCAACATGGTGCGTTTCAAGTAAGGAATTGTAGCAGCAGTAATCTGCGCCGCTGCCATGGACTTCTTTCTTTAGCCTGGAGGAAACTCTCTGTGTGAGAGCTGCGTCCTCGTCTGACACTCGGTAGAAGAATATCAGCAGCCATACTTGGGACCAAAAAAAAGAAACAAGTTATATATCCAGATTCCACTGTTCTTTTGAAGCACTGTGCAAAGGAAGCGTCATGACGGAGTCGAACGTTCCTGACTCCTTTTGGTCCACAATCTCGCCCATTCAAGGAAGTCTCTAGCCGTAGGAAGAGTGTGCATGGCACCTGTAAATTTTGACTCTCATGACTCTCATGTCTCCACCAATTGCATCTTTTGTTGCCCTGTACCATGGACTTCCCTAGAATCTCTACATTGCCCGGCAAGCAAGAATCTATAGAACATAGTAGAAACATCTGAGATGTCATAGTGCTACTATGGAGGGCAATTGTTGTTTGCGAGGAAATATGCCTATAAATGGAAACCGTTTTTGCACAAGCAACATTGTTGGGAACACTCCAATAATCGGGGGCTACCCTGATGAGGAAGCACGCTAAGCATTGGGAGCCATCTGACTCGAAACCTCCCCTATGGGAAAAGGCAGGGATAATTCGGGGGGTCACCAGGTGGGTTTCCGCTGGCCAAAGGAGGGGTCCCTATATTCCTTTTTAATCATCCCCATGCAAAGGAAAACAAATACACTCACTGCAATTGGGACCAAAGGTGTGGTTGTTGCAACTTTGGGGGGGAGCCATGTTTGGAGGGTGCAAAAGAAAACCCCCACTTTGAGGGACACGAAGCTGGGAAATGCGTCGGTTCGGTTCCCGAGAGAGGCCACCAGCACCGCCGCGGCGCGCCTCAAGGACCACGCAAACCGCCAGGGGATGCTCTTGTCTGCAGGCGCTTCGGGGGACGTGCTCACCGATTGCAAGCCCATCCAGCGGGAAAGGCATCCACATCATCTTCATGACGGCAAGTAAATAACAGTCCTCTCCCTTAAAGTGGTAGGCAGTTTGAGGGACCCCTTCTCAAAATTGCTTTTGGTCCCGGTGGGCAACCCCTTGCAACCACCATAAGGGAATTTGAGTATCTCACTTTAATGGACCCAGGGGCCACGGAAAACAGCCTGTTTGGGAAGGGTGGTAGAGCCATGGCAATAAACCCAAACCCACCTGTTCAGCGGCCTGTTGATCGGGGGCTTCCCACTACAAATATACATAGAGCCAACCCCAAAGCATCCTGGGGTTTCCTTTCAAACATATCTAAGTGTGGTTAACTGAGCCGAAGGCGAACAACCAGCTTTCCTAGGGCCATCCTAAACATCACCTTCTTGAATATCAAGATTAGGTGAGTGACTTTTCCTGAGGCAATGTTTGAAGGGGAACTGGGAATGTGGTGATCCTCTTGTTTGCCGGGCGAGTGGGTTTGAATTCTTGACAAATGGGCTCAACCCCTTTTCGGGTTTCTTCAACGGCATCATGTCCCCATGGCCCTGGAAAGAGCGGTTGACGGCGATTGACCACCTGGCGCTTGTTGATTGGAAGGGGTGGGCCATGTGCAGATGGCCACAGTACTATGTCTGGAGGGTTTGTACAGTAGACCAGTAGACACCATGCAAAGCAGCTTCGTTGGTTCTAGGGAGGGTGACAGTCACTTCAGAGGATGCTCCATTCTGCTTGACCTTTCTTTTCAAAAGCTCACGAGCTGCTGAAGGGGAGAAGGGGAAACGAAAGAAAGAGTTTTCCGACCTTGCCTCCGATTGGCTTCTTCGCATTTAAGGCCTGGAACGCAGTGGCCTGCAACGTGCTCATCTCGAGGAGGAGCTGCAGCCGGGTGCCCAACCACTTGGGTCTTGGGGAGAGGGGCTGGGGGAAACGCAATGCCGCGAGCATGGTGACATTGTCGAAGCAGGATGATTAAGGCACAAGGCCCCAACTGTTTGGACAGGATCTGTGATTGACGTTGAAAGGAGAAAAAAGGCACCAGTGACATCAAAGGGGGTTTATTGAAGAATGAACTTGGGAGAGGTTCGACTTCTGGACATCTGCGTTTACAGTTCCATCTATCATTGACAAGGTTAGAGATTTTGGTGAATTAATCGGGTTTAATGATGAACACCCCCCACTCTCCCTCTTCCCCCACTCTCCCTCTTGATTCTCCATTGCTCCCCTACGCCGTCAAACAGGAGTTCTATCTTGATTTCCCTTCAAGGAAAAGCTGGGGTGGAATGAGCTAAAACAATTTAGTTTCAGCTGAAGCAAATGGAGGTGCGTTGGTCGTGCGCCTGGTAGAGATGTGCACACTATTTGGCCGTTCGCAATTTATGAGGCGGTTGAACAAATATGCAAGTCGAGGCCTCCAATTACCCGTGAAACTCCGCAAAACGAGATGGCTGGAAATTGGCTGAAGGCACCTGCCCCAATACAAGCGAGCTAGTAAACCAAACCTTTTCGGGTCGCCTCCCGGAAGCAAAATTGGGGGGGGGGATCTCACCGGCCCTCCCTGTAAGGGCCCTTCGCTTGTGCAAGGGAGGACATGGTTGAGATAGAATCAGATTCTTCCATCAGCCATGCCAGTGTCGTGACCAGAATCTGCCAGTAAGTCACAGCGGTGGCTGAGGAACAGAAGTGGCTCTTTGACTAGCATTGTATGAAAAAACACATTCTGTGGCTTCCACACTGAGTCACTGAGGCATTTGGGGCTCATGTTGACTTGTTCAGGCGAATGGAGCGCCTGCTTTGGGAGCGTGACCAGGTCCGACGGGGGGAGTTACGGCGGGAAGATACAGGTGCTGTGATCTTGAGTTTGCCTGAAGAAAGGTTGGGTGTTGTTTTTGAGGTTCCGATAGAAATTCCCTTGGGTGTATATGTGGGGTCTGTCTTTTTAGAGAGCCTTTTCGGCAACAAAAACAAAGCACCACCGACATTGTGGGAGTGTTGTTCTTTGGGTGGAGCGCTTCTTTGAGTTGGCGTTAAGAAGGAGGCCAGACGGCACCATCCATGGTGGGCTCATTGCCCAACTTCGAACGCGGCTTCAGCCAGACCTCGGCTTCCACAGCCTTTGGTCTTTGTGCTGGAACTCCACTGGGACCAAAGAGCAAGGTGCTTCAAAGGGCAGTCCTCGGTGTTGTCGCGTTGTTGTATTTGCCATGCAATAGCGTGCGTACCACATCATGTGACCTGTATATTAATGTGGAACCCACAAACCCGTTGCTCTTGGTAAAGCCTCCTTTTGGTTTTGGCGGCCGTCCAGAGCGCGGGCTCCTTTTGTGGAACCGTACTTTGGATTTTGTTTTCCCCATATATCAGTCAAGTTTCCGAAAGATTGCTGTAACCTTCTTGTTTCCTTGTCGTTGGGCATCGAGAGAAGCAGCAGATTAAACAGGTAACCCTTTGTGGGGTTCCACTGTTCGAAGGCCTTCTTCAGGTTCCCTTGGTACCGTGCTTCCTTGCTTTGGGTGCCTTCTTCTTCACAAGTAAGACGCACGCAAAAAGGTTTGAGTGTCTTTTGTTTGTCTCTTTGTCGTGACGGCCTTTGTCCGAAAAGGAAACGTTGCCTTCCTCGATCCCTTTCCGATGCGGAGGGTGGGTGCGTGGGTTCAAATCAACGGAAGTCTCAGGTTGGCAAGCCTTAGCCTCGACTTCCAAACGGACACACACGCCGGGTTTTCCTCTGCTGTTGGAGGAACAGGAAGATTGGCCGCTTGGGCCATATTTAAGATCCAGATGCCTTTTTGGCCCTGAAATCTCCTAATATCACAAAAGGCGTGTCAATCCGCTGTCACCAAGTCCAGACTGCACCAGGACGTTGGCTGGAGAAGTAAACCCAGCCAGGCATTTGCTGTTTTGGTGAGCGGCTGGGTATGCAAAGGGACCCACATCGAGGGCATCTTCACACAAACATTTGCGTGGCTCTGAAGGCTTGTTACGATCTGGAACTTGGCACTGGAAATGCACCTGTCTCAATGGTTTTTCTCAAGGCTCCTTCTGAAGATCCCAGTTGAATCACTCTGACTCTCAGATTCGAGCCCTGGATCAGTTTCAGTTTCGGGTTGGCAAACAGGTCGAGCATTCCTGTCGGGGAATTTGCTCTATTTCGCGAGTGAGGATTCAAGCTAGCGCTGACTCTCCACTCAAGGAAGCAGTGTATGTTTAGTCATGGCAAAACAATCCAATTGCGTTTAGCAATAAACGGCTCTCTACGAGCGGTCAAAGCCTGATTTCGCCGGGTAATGGCTCAGTGTTGGGGATTACGTCTCTGTTTCTACCGGGTAATTAATGAGTCGCACTAGGATGCACGTGAAGGTGGCTGGCTGGAGCGTAAAAGTGGACGGCATGTCTCTGGTGTTTTGTCTGCGTTGCGCGGAGGAGACCGCGCGACTCCGCAAGCAAGCCCAGTCGCTGGAATCAAGCCAGTTGGCCTCTCAGGACCCAATGGCAAGAGGGAGCTGTGCATGTGGCAGAAGTAGGTGACCATTCCAAAAGTAGCTGCGTGTCTGAAAAACTAACAAACTAGACCACGGTTGGCCCGAAAGCATAACATCGCAAGCGAGGTCGGCCCAACGCTGCAGGATGCGTTCTTTTTCCCTACACGAAGCATTCGTGAAGCAAGCGCGAGACATCACCAGAGCAAACTGGTCGGTGCAAGTTGGTCTGCGCAAGTTGCTCTACGCAAGTTGCACTGTGCAAGTTGCTCGGCGCAAGTTGCTCCGCGCAAGTTGCTCCGTGCAAGTTGGTGCCTGCAAGTGGCTCCCTGCAAGTTGTTCTGTGCAAATTGCTCCGTGCAAGTTGCTCCCTGCAAGTTGCTCTGTGCAAGCTGCTCTGTGCAAGTTGCTCTGTGCAAGTTGCTCTGCGTAAGTTGCTCTGCGCAAGTTGCTCTAGGCAAGGCGCTCTGCGCAAACTGGTCGGTGCAAATTGGTCTGCGCAAGTTGATCTGTGCAACTTGCTCTGCGCAAGTTGCTCTGCGCAATTTGCTTTATGCAAGTTGCATCTTGCGACGCCCGCGCGGACCAGGGAGGAATCGAACCCGCGACCCGCCGGTCCCAGGAGCAGGCGCGCGAACCACGAGAAAAAGTTGCAAAAAAACCTCGAGTTTTTGCACCTCGACCACGCCGATCCCCGCAGAGGGTCGCGCGGGAACTTTAGAAATCGCAAAAAACCTCGAGTTTTTGCACCTCGACCACGCCGATCCCCGCAGACGGTTGCGCGGGAACTTTAGCAATCGCAAGAAACCTCGAGTTTTTGCACCACCACGCCGATCCCCGCAGAGGGTCGCGCGGGAACTATAGAAATCGCAAATTACCTCAAGTTTTTGCACCTCGACCACGCCGATCCCCGCAGAGGGTCGCGCGAGCCCAAACAAAATCGCAAAAAAAAACATGGGTTTTTGCACCTCGACCACGCTGATCCCCGCAGAGGGTCTGTTTTCGTGTAGTGTCGTCGGCACTACCCCGCCGCCCTAAGAAGAGACTTTAACTCCTCGCAAGTCAACTGCACTTGACTCCTTGCACTTGCAACTTGCACTTGACTCCTTGCACTTGCAACTTGCACTTGACTCCATGCACTTGCAACTTGCACTTGACCCCTTGCACTTGCAACTTGCACTTGACTCCTTGCACTTGCAACTTGCACTTGACTCCATGCACTTTGCCTTCACTTGCTCCTTGCACTTGGCGTGCCACTTGACTTGCATGACTTCTTGCAATGACTGCTCCATGCCCCATGACCCAATGACTCCTTGCAATGACTCCTTGCAATGACCATGACTCCTTGCAATGACTCCTTGCAATGACTCCTTGCAATGACCTTCATGATGATGATTCCTTGCAATGACTCCTTGCAATGACTCCTTGCAATGACTTTCATGATGATGATTCCTTGCAATGACACCTTGTAATGACTCTCGTGAGAACAACTTAAGTGAACCCAGCGGAAGAACCCTTCGCCATGCTTTCGGGAAAAAACACCCCCTGCGCGGTTTCCCTTGAATTTGAGTGACTTACCTGTGCAACCACTCAAGTACCCTGAAAAACAGAGCACACCCACGCACCCCGCTGTTATTTTTGTTTACATTGTGCATGTGCGCATCCATTCCACCAAGCCCGTGCTCAGGCACAAACGGTTGAACTTGGATCATTCATTGTAGGCATCGTGCAAAGCCAGCTGTTTGACCTGATGGCGACTCCACTGGTCCGGTCCTTGCTGAGCATTTGGGTAGGCCAAATGCTTTGTAGATTGTCTCGGAGAAGGAGAAGACATGGGAGGTTGGGCGCAATCGATGAGGAAAGCCACTAGTCTGAATCATGTGCGCTTCTTGAACTACGCTATTCCCTTTTAGTAGCACCAGCAGACCTGCAGCGCACTGTCCAGATCTGGGTGAGGAGCACAACAACCGCAGTTGTTATTTCAAGTCTTTGTGAATATGCCGGCGGTACTTGTTGTAGCGAGCGGCACACACAGACCACGGACAAACCCTTACGTAGATGCGGTCAGTCAGGGTATGCTCGGGACATGCATCCGCGGGTGTAAAGTCCACTAAATGTCCTTAGGCAATGCCATGTCTTGGGTCGCTTGCAGTTGCCCCTTTTGCTTTCGCAGTAGTCTGTTGTGCAATTGCCATGTGTGACGTGCCAAGTTTGTCAGCACAGACTTCAGCCGTCAAGGATTCCCCACGTCAAGCGCAGTTGTCCAACGGATGTAACAATGAGCATGCTTACTTTTCCGCTCAAGTTGCTTGTCTTTCGGGAATGAGCTACAGTTTGACCACAGAGTACCATACCTGTGGGCGTGTGTTTTGGCTTGTTCCGGGCGAGATGGACTAAATGGTGTTGTTTGAACCCGGGTAAGAAGAATGCACTTTTCTGTGACTGAAGGGCAGCAACATAAACATGTGGGAGTTGTTCTATGAAGAAGTCCGGCGAACGCGCCGGTTGGCCTTTGAGGTCAAACGTCGCAGTTCGGTGTCCGTTCAATGCAACACCCCCTCCGAAACGCAGGGCAGTAAGCATGAAACCGTTGCAGTTATACCTATGAAGCAGTAAGGCAAAAGGCATACATTGGCCTTTGAGGTCAAACGTCGCAGTTCGTTTCCATTCAATGCAAGTGTTGCACCCCTGCCGTAATGCGCGCTTCTTGAGCCTCAATTGGCACAGCCCTTTTCCTTGAGAATCCTACATTGAACATGAAAAGATCTACACAGGTGTGCGCGTTCTATTTTGGACCCTGGAAGCCTTTTTGCTATTGCAATTACAAAGTGCGTGATACTTGACCGTCCCGCGCTTGCCACACGGACGGCGCTTCTTGATTTGATCCGTGGTTGACCGGATGGTGCCTTTTGCAATCGGGAATTAAGCGTAAACTTTTGTCTGACTGAAGTTATCGTCAATTTGGCAGGGACATACTCATGCATTTTACCATGTCCATGCATGCGTTTGCGTAGTTTGAGCAGGTGTGAGGCAGTGGCCACCCAAATTGCCCCCCATTTTGTCCCCTGGCGGTTGCTTCGGAACCCCAGGCTTCAGCTGGACATGGAGATGCGGGGCTTGCAAGCTGCACGCGACAACTCCGCGCTGGAGGCCCTCCAATGGGGACGGGTCCATCGCGACGTAGCCAAAGGTAAGGGCTCCAGGGTGCAGGCCCTCGGCTACACCAACATGTGCCGCAGTGCTATATACTTATGCAGCACTTATGCTTTGACCCAGATGCATTTTTTTGGTTTCTTGGCAACCGATGCATGCCATGGTCAGGCCAAAGAGCTCAGTGGCAGCATTGCAGAACTGCTGCATCAACGCCTGCAGAAGGTGGGGCTCCGTTTCTCGGGTCTCTCCAGCCGGGCCGGCGGCCATCACCCCTCAGTTGGCACTGCCATGGCTTTCGGAAACACGGCGTGGTTTCCCTCGGGCTTTGCTTGGGAGAAAAAAAACACCCCAAATGGATATCCTCACCCCAGTTTAGTGGATTCCACCCTCTTGCCCTTTGTGCTTGGTAGATTCCAAATGGAATCACAAGCAAACATGATTTTGAGCACCCACAAAGGCAGGTGGAAGCCTCTCTGCCTTTGACTGACTCGTTGACTCCAAACCGTTTGGATGTCGAATTTCTCCGTGAGCTGTTGTTCCCTGAAGAGGGAATCCACGCTGTCGTTCAAAGGAAACCAGCCCCTAGATGGGCTGCTTTTCTTGGATTGTGCCCTTTTTGTCTTGCTTGAAAGGCAGACCAGGACCAAGGAGACCAGCCATTGCCCCGTCTACCCCCACGCCATTACCACTCCCTTTGACACATGTGTCAGGTGGAGAAGAGCAAAGACGTGGTGGATGCCCTGGCGCCGCCGGCTACACTGTGGACGATGTCACAATTTTCGGTGTATTTTGCAGAGTGACGGAGTGACGGAGATGACTCAACCAAAAGTGGCGAGCTTGGTGTCGTCAGAGTCAGGTTGGTTGACCCCACCTTTGTGATATTTTGTGATACTAGGCAATTGTCCCTCCCTTTGAGTGAGAATTAATTGTTGGGAAGGCTTTCCGTGGTATCACAGAAGTTGTTAGTAGTCTTACAAGCCTGATCGAAGGCCTTGCGAAGCCCCCCAGGAAAGAAGCACAGTTGGACGTCTTTGCTTTGCAGAGACCCTCTTTGAGGAAACTCGAGAGGTTCAGAAGGGGGAGACAAAGGGACACTCTTGATTGACAATGAATCAACAACAGATCCACCCAGTCTTGTCGGGATTCCGACCATGCGGGCCCCCTGACTGATACAAGCACCGCTTGTTGATGAGGAGTCGACATCTCCCTTTGTCAAAGAGACTTGTTGGGTTCGACAGGAGCCCCTAGATACACTGATTTCCTTGGGGGGCCCTTCAATCTTTTTCCATAACGTTGAGCCCGATTGACACGCGGCAGTGGGCTGCGTGCTTGTGCCAGGGAGCCAGCCCATTTAGCATTGACGGTGCAGCATCGCAGAAGGAGCACTGGGTTCTTCAAAAAGAGAGGTTGGCATCATGTGCTTCTGCCAGGTTTTAGCAAGTTTAAAAGCTGTGCAGCGTGTCATGGCTAGATGTTGACAGGGGAGACTTGATTTGATTGCATGGTTTCGCAGATGTAGAGGGGCAGAAGGGAAATTGCTTTTCAGTTGGGTGCTTCCCAGAATAAGAATCCAACCTCTGAAATGGTTGGGTGGTTTCCTTTTGATTTCCTTGTGGAAAGGTCTAGACAGGAAGTCCCAAATTTGATGAACCCCCAGTTCAGATGAATGAATGAGAACAATGAGGAATGCATCCGCCGGTCAACCATGTCATTTCATTGAGCGGCAGTTGTTAGCCGGCAAGGTGCACCTTTGCAATTGAGCATTAGTCATTTCAAGTTTTCTTTGCCGCTTTGCTGGGAAGGTGTTGCGCCACATGCATGTGATGCCGACCAGCCAGGCACGATGAATGATTGAATGTGACTCCTGTAGATTGGCATGGAGTACCAGCAACGGTTTGCAAAACGGGGAGAGCGTGACTGCTGCTCTTCACGTTTTCCTCATCCAGGAAGTCTAAGATGGATTGGGCCAGCAAGGGTCCTGAGCCAAAAGGGAGCTTTGACGATTATTAGATTTGTCTCCAAACTAGAAACGGGTGGCTTGTCTCTGGTGTCACACTCACCCTCAAAACGGCACCGATCTGACCATTTGACATGATCATGAAGTTCCTCTAGCCTATAGATGTTGTTTGACACAGTCCTTCCAATCGAAGATTACCAACTCAAGCAGAGGTATGGTGCCTGTTGCCCAGTCCACCAGTCAGAATCAGAAGCTCTTTTAGTGAGGACGGTCCAACCATGTGGAGTGGTCCCTAGTGTTGACACAGAATTTAACGGCTTGCAGTGGTTCAGGACAGCTCGTGGCTGACTGACTTTGTAGTACAATTCGGGAGAGTTCAACAAAATAATTGTAGCAATTTTCCCGGAAATCATCCGTTCTGGAGGATCGAAATAGCTGTGGGGAATGAGGTTTTGGCCAACGTTGTGCGATATCAGGGGAATCCCCTCTCAAGGGGCAAAACAGTCTCAGTGACAGAAGTCCATGTTCATTTCTCCATGTTCATTTCCGGACGCTTTCCCCGCCTCACGTCGGTCTTTGCACGACGAAAAAAGCAAGCACAGGAGTCGAAGCGATTGCACGATGTCACCCAGGTCTTGGAGACCAAGCGCCAGGAAGCGATGGATGTCATGCTAGAGACCCTTTTGGGATGGATTTACAGGAAACCAGGATGAAATAGGTCATTTGACTTGGCTTGCTGTGTTTCCCCATTTGGTGTTTTGGTTAAGAAGTGTTCCCAAGGATCCATCTATGTAGCCAAACAAGGCTCAGGATCAATCCTGGGACACATAGCCACTTAGCCAAAGGGTTTTTGCACCAGCCGCGGGGGAATCTCTCAACATGGGCGAAAGTTTATGAAGAGCGCTTTGGCCGAGTGTGATTCACGCAAGCTTTGAAGTGGGGATCCCTATCACTGTGGAGGTGTGGGCCCATCCATGGCCTGAATGCTTTCAGAAACGGGCCAGATCCCAGTTCATAGGGCATGCAACCAGGAAGTACCGTTTTCATATGCCGGAAATTGGTTGAAGCCCAGAGGATTGGGTCCACTGTATATTTTCCCGAATTCCTCCATTGAGGATCTCACAAGAACCGCCGGCTCCACAGATGAACGTATGCGGTCACTAGATTTGCGATGAACAGTTGTAAAATGTGGTGGAGCAAAACATTCACTAGGCTGCGAAGCTCTTCCCTTTTTCCTTCGGTGGCTGGACTTGCAAAGCCAACAGGATGTGGAAACCCTTTCATGTTGCAATTGGAGCTTTGGCACAGGTTTCATGGAATTGGACTGCATTTTGGATTTTGGCTGGGCTCAACGGCAACTTGATGCTCTCCACAATGACCGACACAACCCGCCCCCACAAGCCCCACGTGGGAGCCGACTTCTGCCACATAGAAGCTGAACACATGCACTGACTGTCGCGGCGGGCTCTTTAACGCTTCCGCGCCTTGCGTTTTAGCCTTCCTGTGTTTTAGCTTTCGCCGGGCCTTGTTAGGAGAGCCGCTCAATTAGCCCTTTTCAGAACGGTTTTGGCGCTGCTGCTCAATTGGCCAATGTTATGAAATAGGACCCTAGCGTGAAAGGGTGCGAGTAATTCGCACATCAAGGACGACTAATACACCAGCGCACGCGTATGAAAAGTGAGACCATGGCAATAGCAATTCTTCAGGCTACCGATTTACCACACGACGCGCACTCCTCGTAGTTCTTGCACGCGTCACTTAGGCTGCAAGCCAGCGAGAGGACACGTTGCGGTTTCCAGCGAACGGCCCTTCTGAAAGGCTTCAAGGTGCAACCTGCTTTTAGTTGCCTAGGTGTTGCAACTTCGGTAAAGGCCCTGGTGTGCAACAGTAGTTCTTCGGAAAAGAACCCCATGTAGAGCTGCCAGCCCTGTCCGCCAGCTGCTTTCGAGTTGTCGGGTTTCAGAGTTGGTAGGAGTTTGCGGAGTTGAAGCACAAGACCGAGCAGGCCATTCAGTTTGCGGGCTACGGAGAGTTGAGGGCGCTTCTGCTGACTTTGTCGGGTCTCAGGTGGATCTGATACAATTATATCGGTTGTGAAGCTACTATAGCCCCATTAATTTGCCCCATTATAGCTGCAAAATAAGCAGCATGCATGCGCGCGCACGCAGGCAATGCACGCAAGCACCCACCCAAGGACCCACCCACGCACCCACACAAGCAGACACAGACACACACACACACACACACACACACACACAGACACTGTCACACACAAACGCACGCGCACGCACGCACGCACGCACGCACACACATACGCGAACAGACAAACACACACAAATACACAATGCACACAAACACAAACACAACGCACACAAACAAACACACACAAACACACGCACACCCTCACACGCGCACACACACACACACAGACGCGCACACACGCACGCAGGCAGGCAGGCACGCACCCACACACACACACACACGCACGCACGCGCGCGCACACACACACTCTCACAAACACACACACACACACACAAACACGCACACGCACAGAGACACTCACGCACGAACACGGTCAAGCACGCACATGCACAGAGACACACACGCACGATTACGCGCACACGCAAACGCACACTCGCACGCGACACACGCACACGCACAGAATAGCACTCACGCACGCGCCTGCGCACGCAGTCACGCCCGCCCGCCCGCACGCACACGCGCACGTGCACGCGCACGCACACACCCACGCCCAGGCAAGCGCACGCGACACACACACACACACATACATGCACGCACCCAAACATACACACATTCACACACACACAGATACACATACGCACACTCACACACCCTCGCACCCGCACACAAACACACGCACACGCACACGCACACGCACACGCACACGCACACGCACACGCACACGCACGCAGGCACGCACGCACCCAAACACGCACACACACACACACACAGACACACACACACACACACACACACACACACACACACACACACACACACACACACACACACACGCACGCACGCACGCAGGCACGCACGCACGCACGCACGCACGCACGCACGCACGCACGCACGCACACAGACACACACACACACACACACACCCATGCACGCGCACACACACACGCACACACACACACACACACACACACCCACGCACGCACGCACGCACGCACGCACGCACGCACGCACGCACGCACGCACGCACGCACGCACGCACACACCCACACACACCCACACACACACACACACACCCACACGCGCACGCACACGCGCACACACACATATATTTATAGAATATAATATATATATATATACCTAGAACTTCCTGCGGCGGAAATTTCTGCCACAACGCATTGCGGCTGAATTTCCCGCCGCATTTCAGAAAATCATCCGCAAAAAAAACAACGCCGCAACCAAAACAAAAACGCCGCAACACCGTTTGCTTTCCGGGAATTTCCGCCGCATTCCCGCCGATTTCCGACGCAAATCGGGGGGTAGAAAAAACTGAAAACAAGCTCTGCCGCAATTCTAAAAAAACGCCGCAAATCAGGTAGAAATGCCGCAAATCCAAAAAGTCGCCTTCTTTGATTTGCGGCAGAAATTTCTGTCGCAACGAATCTCTAGGTATATATCTATATTACGCACGCACGCACGCACGCACTCACCCACACACGCACACACACACGCCCACACACACACACACACGCAAGCGCCCATGAGGGCGAGCAAGCCACATGCAGACTTTCTGCTTCCCTTCTTTTCGGATGAGCCGCTCCCGTAGGCCGCAGGGGATGCCAAGCACTGGGAGGCAGCGCTCGCCTCGGCGCAAGGAAGACGAGGGAAGTGGGAGGTTGTGGCGCCAGGTCGAGGCGTTTGAAGGTTCGTGTGAGGGTTAACTGTGGGTGCATCTTTTTGTAAGGGTGTGCTTCAAACAAACCAGCCTTTTTGGGCTTCCCCTATTTTGACACGGGCCCATGTGCTGCTTGGCACTATCCAAGCCCTTGGCCAATCGAATGGACGGTTTGCGTCACATGTGCGTATTTGTGGGCATGATGGAATGGCCGGGTGTGTTCGTCCAAGGCTTACCATTTCACCTAAGCCTTGGTTGGATAATAGCTTGTTTGTGGGTTTTCCAACGAATTCTGTACAAGTCGGCTATTCCAGGGTTGCCTGCGTTTTGCGTTTCCTGTCATTTTAAGCGAGGTAGAGGTGTACTGGCTTTTGCACTCTGAGGAGGAGTCTTCCTTGACCCGGCGTGTGCACCTCTTCGAGCAGGAGCTGCGTGCCAAGCAGGCGGGATCCAATCTGAAAACACATTGGCGCTCGATACTTTTGGGTACAGTGGTGCTAAACGTTTTGTTCTGGACACATCCAACAAGGCGCAGTACCTTCTATCGTAGTTGTATACATTGTTTCAAATCCGAGGTTTTTGGGTTCGTTGCCATTGGTATTGAAGCTGTTGTTGGCAAACAACAACTTTAGATTGTTTGTTGCGGTGGTGAAAACTTGGCCTTCAGGGCCACTATCGGGAATCCGTTCAAAAGTGAGAGGCAGGGGTATGGGAATCAGCCACAAAAGCGGATTGCAGAAAGGGGCAAGGATTGTCCACAACTTCAAAGGGTACTAGTAATTGGCGTTGAACAAATTACATCGTGACCTCGCAGCGTTTGGTTTGCGAGTTTGCGACAAAAACACCCATGATGAGGTGCATTGGGGGTTGCTGATTTCAGTTTTGTGGTTTTATAGAAAGTTGTCCGGACGGATGTGGGAGGAATGACTTGAGACGTGACTTGTGACAGTTCCAGACTGTCACCCTGCTGTGTTGAATGGGTCGCGGCTCCCCATTCATCCTCTCAAAGCATGCCTGCTAGTGGCTTTACAAAAACGGGGGCAGAGTCGTGACTGGCACGGTAATTCTCCCAATCACGGCGAGCAAACCCTCAGCACGCATGTAAGCAGGGGTTTATCAGGGATGCTGAGGCCAACTCTTGTCGGCATGCGGTGGGTTTCCTTTCTTTTGCAAGTACACCAACCACTAGCCATGATCAATTCTGGGGTGTTCCGTGTTCTTGGAATCCACCGGACCTACAGCTCCCTGCCGTGGATTTTTGCTAGAATTGGGGACCACCCACTGGCTGGTTGATCTTTTGAATCAAGCGCAGAGGTCAAGGACGAGACACAAACCTCCCCAAGAAAGAATGCATTTTCAGCCTGAAAGCGTCTCTCAAGTTTGTTGTTTTCGAAAAGGACGGACCGGAATTCGGAACCAAACAGCACACATCGATGTTGATCCAAGAATGTGGGCTGGTGATCCCCTGTCAGAGAGAGACACAGGATGAAGGAGGTTCCAAGGGGAAGATGTGGGCGGACGAGGTTGTCCCCAATCCCCGCCCCATCCTGCCCCATTGCTCTTCCACCATGCATTAGCTCGTTTATCGACTCTAAAATACCAGCGCGGGAACAGCAGAAACTCCGAAGAGACATCCTTATTGTCTGACTCGGTCCTTCTCGGCATTCGGAGACCATTCTTGTTTGCCTCAGAAAAGATCACAGGCATCCGGGCCGGTGTCAGCTTCTCAGGGGTCTTTGGGGACCTTGACTTGCGATCTGGGCAAATTCTGGCAAGGTCGCCGAGGGATTGGGGGAGGTAGGCAGAGCCTCGCAGCATTTGCTTAGTCCAAATCGAACCTACCAGATCTAGCCTTTGATTCGCCATCTTAAGCGTTGCTCGAAAGCTCACATTGCACCCTTGTTTTCCAGGTCCTTTGCCCCTAACAGGCTGGACATGATCTTACCCAGGTCTTTTGGTTGCAAGTCTGTTGAGCTCGAATTGCAGGGCCAGATGGAGCAGAACGACAAGCACTTTGTGCACGAGGGTGCCGGGGGCTTGACTCCGGATTGCAAGTGTTAGGATGCACCTTGTGCAGACCCGGGTACCTGAAAACCAAGGGGAAGAAGAGGTGGACTTCACACAACTCGCAGTGGACAAGAATTGAAGAACGCATCCCAAGAGGGAATCGATTGGTGGCCAGGGTAAGGATGATCTTCTTTCTACTCACATGAGCAGTTTAGACGACGCTTGAAGGGTAGCAATTGGCAATGGGAGTGGGATGCTCCGAATTGATCAGTGGCGCAGTTGTCCCCAGCGGGCTCTCTACTAGTGATTACCACAAAGAATAGCACTCTTTTTCAGGTCACAAGGCCAGCATCCATATCCACGTTTTATTGCAATTTGCAACATGTTCAGGATGTTTACGGCAGCTCTTTTTACGCTGTTCGGACCAGCTTCATACTGCTCATGCTTCCTGTTGATGGGATCTGTGTCTCACATACTTTGGCTCCAATTCGCGAGCTAGTTTCCCTTCTAGTCCTTCTAATGGAGAAAGGATAAATGAGCAAGATTTGCGACCTCTCAGTCCGGTAATCATCACGGTAGTCAGCAGTGGTCCACGTGTGCCTTTGACCGATGCGTTTGCTCGTGTGGGTTAGCACAGGCCTGGTTGCAAAAATGAGTTTGTCGGGTCATATGGCTATCAACCCTTAGGTATACCATACTGAGAGCCATAATACGAGTGCAACACATGGTATTCCAACAATTTTGGCTTTAAGGACTGTATTTTATATTGCAAGCCGCAACTGTTGCCTTTCGTTTGGAAAGAGGATGCGGCGTGATTCACAGCCCACGTGCCTAGAGCACCCGAACTCTCGAATGCCGAGGGCCTTTTGCGCGAGCACATCGAGGAGCATGTGATTTGTCAGCCTGCCATAGGGACAGTGCCAACCAGTAGAAGCGGCTGCCCTCTTAGTATTTACATGTTTTTGGGTAGTCCACTTTACTACCAGGTTTGATTACGACTCATTTGGTCTTGGGCTTCGCACTTTGTCTAATTTTGGTCAGGGTTTCAAAGAGAAATTGCTGCGAGTGCCCAGGGATCGAATCCCGTAATTAGGCGCAGAGATAGGAATCAACCACTTTGAGCCAATTGCAGTGGCAGTTCACCAACCAAACGACATGTCTTCATGCTGGATCAATCTTTCAGAATTTCAGGTCACTGTGTTCAATTTGTTGTTGGACAGAGAAGCATTGGGTTTGTAGCGGGGACAGAGAAGCATTGGGTTTCTAGGGGCTTAGAAGCTTTCACGCGTTGCGCTGCATGGCACTTGGCCAGCAGCAGCGCGCGCTCTACGTATTCGGTAACCGCTCGTTTTCATCTTTCTGGGCATACTGCTGGCGTGCTGCTGCCATGCTGCCAGCATGCTGTGGGGTGCTGTTTGCGTGCGTGAAATAGCGCTACCATTAACGCTTTAGCGGAGGTGCGCTGCTTGCTAGTTGAAAGCTACTGCAATTCCTGTCAAGTTTGATCAGCAAGGTCGTTCTTGCAATGTTGTGCGGGCTTCGGTTCAACTGCCACGGTTTCCAACCGAGAACAAAATGCTGGCTTTGGTACTGCTGTCCTGGCTCAAGCAGCAGCTTGCTGCTGCTCCAAAAACTGTTTGCTGATGCAACAAGCTACCAACAGCATCTCTTCCTCCTGCCCAGATGTGTTGTTTGATATGTGTTTGGTGCCAGCTGGTTTTCTGGTCAGCACAAAATGACCTGGCTAGCGTTTACCTGGCTAGTTGGGCGGAGATCCAGCAGCTCGCTCTCATGGGGGCGTATCCACAGCAGAATTTCTTGAGAGGTGGCTGGCTTGCAAGCTGTCGCAAGCAGTTACTTTGTGGAAGAATAGGAAGAAGAGAGAATGTGTGGCTCGTAGGCGCTGTCTGACAACCAAGTGCAGCATGGGAGCCTGCGCTCATGCTTACATTTTCTTCACACACACACACCAGTTGGAGGACGCAGCTTCGCAAGAAACGTGGAAGTCACGTTGATGCGCCCGTTCACAGCGACCTTAGCAAAAGGTGAAAGATTGGCGCGCTATGAAGTGAATGCTGTGATAGATGGGGCGGTGCAGTTCAGGTGTGTTGCTCCAAACAAGCGAGTAAGATTGCTGCTGAACGGTGTGCATTGGCAAGGCGCTCTTGGAGCCAAAACACTAAGCGCGCCCAGCTGTCAAACATGAATGCTGGAGGCTTCTTTGAGACTCATCTTTGTTTTGTGGGGTGTTTTGCAATTAGGGTTTTCTGGCAGGGTTTCAAAACAAATGTTCAAACCTTTGAAAAAGTTCCATTCTTTTTTGAAAAGCCAAGCCTTCGAAGGCCTTTCTTTCAAAATTCGAGATTCAAACGTTGACGTCACCATCTGCGTATGCGTGTGTGTTGTATGTGTGTTTGTGCGGGTGTCTAGAGGTCTGGATGCGTGGATGGATGTACGGATGTATATGGGCGTTTGGGCGTATGCATGTATATGTGGAATGATGGATATATGGATGCGTTTGGGAAGTGGCAGCTGAGAAGCGAAGACATAAAGCAAAGACTTGGAATATGTTAATTGGTGTTCAAGCCTCGGAAGGCAAACGAACCATGAAACTTGCTCGGATTTCTTCCTACCTTCGAAGTTCAGCGGAGAAGAACCCGCCTAGTACTGGCCTAGGGGACTGCCTGAGAGGTGCTGAGAACGATGTTGGCTTTCGTGCAGGCAGAAAGGCCATGAAAGTGCAGTTTCTCTTTGAGTGCGGCTTTTGAGCGTTTCACGCACTGAGAATATCATGGAAACGGGCAAACGTGTCCTCCATGTCAAGGAGCTACGGAAGGCAGTCGCCAAGGAGCAGACAGGCGCAGCAACGTGGCCCCGTGTTGCTCGTCGTCGGCACAAGGCAAGGGGCGTTTAAAGCAGATGATCGGGCAGGATGGTCATCAACCCTTGGCCCCTCTTTCATTAGGAAACCGACTCCCACTTTGAATAGCCAGCCTAGAAAGGAGCACTGATACCCTTTGTGCGGCAATCATGGAAGCTGACATGAGGTTTTAGTAGATTACATTCCTTTTGGGAAAGGGCCCTGTCCAAATCCATGATTGCATAGATTAGAATCAGATAGAATCAGGATTCCTACAAAGGAACCCTTCGTTGAAAGCATGCCTTTAAAAAGGTTGGGGTTCCTGTAACTGTGTTTGAATGGAACTGAAACCATACCGACCATACTATGGGAAACACCTTGTTGACAAGATCCAATCAAATCCATTTTATGGATTATGGCCTCTCGGTTTCCTCGAAGAAGCTACTGAAATAACCATAGGTTTGGGTATTGGTTTTGTTTTGTTTGGAAACCCACCGAGGTCGGGCCAAAGATTGGTTGATGCACAGACCCCCTTTGGAAGACAACTGCAATCCTTGTCTTGGCTTCCAAAGAGGTCCCTCCATTTTTGAGCAGGCCAAGGGGGCTGCACAAGGGAAGCCTTCTTGGCAGTTGAGGATTGACTATGTCCATTGCAAGGTGGTGCTTGCAGTACATGGTGTGTCAGTAGTTAGATGCATTTTCATTGAAGTTGAAATGGCAAAGCGGGATGGCCGGCATGAGGCATGAACACTTGATGTGTGTGTGTGTAATTTTGTTGAAGCGGTCGCCGAGGAAAAAAATGATTCATGACGGGACAGATCTTGGAATTTTCTACATAGCTGAAATGGAGACACCAGTATTTACGGGCCGCGGCTCAATCTACGGGAAACATACAGGAAACGCACCATTTTCCAAACGGAGAGAAAAATGGAAGCATAGATTGCAAACAATTGTGCAAAGCCGCAAAAGGAGCATCCATTTGGGTGGGTGGAGCTTTGCAAAGTCAGCATGAATACTTTGTGTGGAAAGGTTGAAGGGGCCTCCTTTGTGACTCTCGATTGTCTTGAAGCTAGGATCCGGTCATCTTTACCGGAAGGACTCTTGGAAAACGAAAAGGAATGCACAAAAAGCGTCGCAACGTTTGTGGGGGGGCTGCGTTCTACAAAGAAAGACAATTCTCAAAACCAAACAAAAAGGAAAGGTCAAAGGCAAATCCCGAAAAAAGGCCTTCTAGAAGGCTTCCAATCTGGCGGACAACCCTGCAGGTTATATGGCCGCCGACCATCGCACCGCCTGCAGCTCAGAATGACGGACTTTCTAAGCGGCCGAGGGTCGTGTTTGACGGGGACATGCACGGAGTAAAACGAGTTCGGGCCCCATGGACGTATATATTGCCAATCTGAGAGTCATTGTAATCCGCCACTGCCAAGCCAGTATTTTGCATTTGTATGTGTCTGCATTCTGTTTACTCTTTGTTTCCATGCTTGCAGAAATTGCTCACCCATGCTGAGAATTCTACACTACCGAGCCATGTTTTGCGCCTTTTTTGTACTTTGCGCCACGAACAGTTGTTCGGCAACAACCATTTCGTTTCTAAACATCGATAGAACATGTTGAAACCTTTTTCACCTACCACTCAAGTAGGAGTAGCTTACTGGCGTAAACATGAGGCTTGGATGATCCGGGCCAAAGGTGATTCACGTGATATTTCCCCATTCTCATAGATGCAGGCCGGCTATGTGCCACACATCTCCCCATCCACCCATGCTACCCATCCACCCGGTTCCTTCGAAGCATGCGAGCGCTGCCAGGCCCTGCGGGCCCAGGTGTCTGAAGAGGCGCCGGCAAGCGAGCTTTGGTTGCCGCCCAGGTCAGTCAGGTTGCGTCAGGTTTAGGTCGCTTTGTCTTATGTCCTTCGAATCCTCTCGGAATCTGAAATGGCACCCTCCAAAGCGGTACGGTGCAACTTCACCTTGTTTCTGGGCTTTACCTTCAAGGGACCTGCTGGTAGTGTACAAAACTGTTTGCAGGGAGTTCCTTTATTCTCCCCTAAAGGGGGAGCCCGGCTGTTTTGTTATCTTTCTGGTCACGAGGGATTTTGGTTTGCCACCCCAGCAAGGCTCCGTTCATAGGGAGTACGTATTTTGGGTTGGAGAATGTTACAATGCACACAGATTGATGCTTAACAAACTTGCCTCTTGTTGGTTGTTCGAAATGTGTCAATGTGCTTCCCGGGCCCAAAAAGTGTCGATTTCGGCTGAGAAGGAGTTGGGTGCGCTAAGGCAACCGACTTCTTCAAATTTCACCCATTCAAGCTGACCGCTGTTCAGAGAACACTTGAGAAATACGTTCAAGGGGCCAAGCATGTTCATCTGTTTAATTTCAGGGGTTTGGAGAAGACAGTCAAACCAGAAAGAGGGCGCGTCTCATTTCCAGTCTCAATCGCCCAGGGCCTCACAGCTGGCAATTTAGAAGAAACCCACCTGACATGCCGTGGATGGACAAAATCCTGCACTAAATAGACTAGTCAGGATGAATGCATCCCCATGCCCATTCACAAATGCCTGGGGCTGTTCTCCGGACTCGCAGTGGATTATGGGAGTTCTTGGCTAAGGGAGCACTGGAGACTCCACAAAAGATGCGTGACATGACGGTAGCAAGTCGCCACTTTCTGTGATACAAGAGAATCCTCTCTAATGTGAACATAGTCGCAGGTATGGGAATCCTACTTTGGTAGCACAGAAAGGGTCATTCTACCATGGTTCCAGCGGCATCTCGTTTTGGGACTGCATTGAAGTTGAAGCGACCAACAAGTTGGCAGTTTTGCACATTGGTGGCAGTCCATCGAATGTCTGCCACACTTCAACAGACGCCCCAGAAGGTCGCTAAATGCCCCGATTTGATCTCCAAAATTCTGAGGTAGCATGCCTGGCGCTCGGAACACCCATTCGCAAACCCTCGTTTGGGGACGCAAGATGGCCAAAAGCAGGGAATCAGCCATTGTGATGGTCCATTGAATTCCTTGATGCAATCCCGGTAAAACATCCTGTCTCGCCCAGACGCACGCGGCCAAGCGGGAAGTCCAGTCCCTCTTGGCGATGGTGCCGCAGCTGGATTCGGTGAGGCGCCCATTTTGGCGCCAGAGCAGCAACACATTGCAAAGCACCCTGTTTGGACCCCCGGACCCCCAACCCTGGTTTTGGTTGCCCATAGACCTGGTTGTGGTTGCCCACAAAAAAGCGTTGGGGGTTGAAAAACACCCTAAAAGGGAGGGGTGTCCCAAACCAGTGTGTACCTTGTGACCCTGAAAACTTGAGAGTCACTCGCAACAAGTGTCAGTTGAACAACCCCAAAGGAAGTGCCTCCTTGGCATCGCCCCGGGTTTGTTCGGTCTGAGGCACTGCGGGCGCGGCATCAGCACGTCTACAGCGCCGAGGCCTCCAAAGAACGAGACGTGTGGCGAAGGGGGGATGCCCTCCTTCCATACATAGTGTTCGCGAGGCTTGCCCTTTTGGTGGCTTCCGGTTTTGAAGCAACGCCTTTTGAAAAGGCTAATTTCAAGTGAGCTGCCCTTCGGTGTTTTAAAGGATGACATATAAACTAGTTCGAATCGTGTTCTAGGGAAATCTTGTTGACTCCGGATGAATCAATCCAGCAGATTGATAGGGGGCGCAAGTCCCCCGAAAGTGAAGGACCCCCGTTGTAAATGGGACACTCCCCTATGAATCAACCATGGCTTGATGAATCGTGGGTTCCCACGACTGGTCTCTACCAGACGATTCCAAAGAACTAAGAACAGCCCAGCCAATAAGGCTGGGCCACGATGCTTGATTCAGGGGCATGTTGTGACAAGCAAACCACAAGCCTGCCGAAAGCTCACCATGCAGAAGCCAGCATATTGTGGCATTCCGCTTATTTTGGCACTGTCCAAAGAACGTGTTGCAGGCAAGTACACCGGACAGCCAGCGTATTGTCCAGGGGCCTATACCTTAAGGCACGGCAAAAATTGTGGGCTAGAAGGCATGGCATCATGCTCCCCTCACAAATGTCAGCCCCCGGTTTTGTGAACCAGTTTAAACTTATAAAGTTTTGGGAGCTGTATACGTGCAGGTGGTCCTGGGAAGAACTGAGCTTTTAAGATATACCGGATGCTTTCTTGTCGCACGATTTCTGCAGGACACATTGCATTGTTGTTGCCGCATGAAATGGCAGAGTATTGGCATGTTTATTTCTCGGGCTGCGCTTCAGGTGAAGAGCGACTCGATAGATGTGCTGGGGCCCTGGAGTGTTATGCCAGATTGGCATATGGGAATTGGCATGCTATGACCCCTTTTGCTTCCCAGCCCCCAGCTCCCAGCCCCGCAAGCCAACGCAGAATTGTCACCAGAAATACGAGGAGGGCCTTTGAATGGGCCCTATTTGTTAGCTGTTGAGCCTCGTGTTGGCTGGTTTTCAAAGCACGTTCCCAAATGGTCCTTGGTTCCGACGCATCACCTTGTTGTGGGGAGATCAAGTGAGGAAGAAGTCGGCCTGATTTTGGGTTATGTCATGGGTGTGTGTGTGTGGAACTAGCGTTGGAGAATCTATCTACAGCCGGGCATTTGATTTTGACCCCTGTTGAAGAGACTAGATGGGTGCCACATCACGTTTCCAGCAAATGTGGGAGAATGGTGAATCCTGCGGAAGGGTCGCAGGCGAAGTGGCAACGGGAAGGGGCTGCGCAGCAAGACAGAACCAAATCTCAAGCACATGATAAGGGGAGTACATGTTCGAAATGAAGCGTCTCGCTAAATGAAGCGTCTCGCTATTGTCCAGAGTTGTTGTCTTTTCGGAATTCCATTCATAGTTCCATCACTTGTGTGGGAGGACGAGAAGAATCGAGTTTGCAACCCCCTCACCCCTCCCCTTCATGTCCGGGGGATTCGTGGGGGAGGTCGATTTCTTCCGAAGCGTTGCCTTTCAGTGATGCAGGCTGCCAGTGTTGGTTGGGTTGCGCATGTAATGCTGTGCCGTTCGGCAAGTGCAATTTACCAGCATCCCCGATTTCCTTGTGACAAATCTCACACTTCTTGTGGTCTGGTTCAGCGTGCAACGGTATCCGCCGACCTGAACCCATGGCTTCCATTGCCTTCCTTTTTCCTAGGCCCTCTCTTGCTTCATGAGCTCCCAGAGACTCAATGGACACTGAACATCCAACTGCATGCGAGTCCTCAGGTTACCCTGAATGGTTTGTGTTGGTTGCTTGGGAGTTGAGCCCGCTGCATTAAGGTGCCCCCAAACCCCCTAAACCCACGGAGGGGCGAGCTGAACTGCGCACGCGTGCTCGGAAAGCGAGGGCGCTGCACGCAGTGCTGCGGGCAACCCCAACTCCTCCGGGCCTGGTGTGTCGCTTGGGCGCGGGCCTTGGCAACGAGACCGCGCCGGCAGAGCTTCCTCCACACTTGGGGTTCCACTTTGGAGTCTTTCAGGTGGAATACCGGACAGAGCAGCGGTGGTTCCATTTGTAACTTGGGAATTCAAATGTCTTAGTCGGATTTCTGTTTTTCATAGACTTCTGGCTTCATCAGAACTTGATTGATATGAAGGGACAATGAAGGGAAAAGTAGAGGACAGCCAAAGCCCTAAAAGATCTGAACATCCTCAACCGTAGGTTTTTGGTCAAGGCACGGCTAACTGGACGTGAGGGGGCAGTCCAACTACAAATCAAGGTGTTTGTACTGGCTAGTGTGATTCCTTACCAGTGTCACAACTATCAACCTCTTGGGGACAGATTTCAATCGAAACCAACATGAAATCGTTGCACTTGGAAGGGTCTTGAGCTTTTTTTGCACACCAGCAGGTTTGACTTGACCCTCCACTCCCAACCCCCTCAAATGTCAGCGCGTTCCCAACATTCGACCTTGAGAAGGCCAATGAGGCCTTATGTTTGTTGTTTTTCTCGGAGAAACCAAAGGTACTGGCGATCCCGCTTGAGCAAAGTAGGTCGTTTTGGGGTGTTTGTTTTGAAACCCTTCTTTCACTGGCCACTGCAAATTTGGGGTGGAAGTTTGGACACGTTCCTGGTACTCGGGTGCTAGATTTGCCCAAAGGGGACGGACAGGATGCATCCCGTCGTCGTTTCTTTGCGGACTCCATCATTTAGCACCCAGATAGGCACAGGCCCTTTTTTTGGAGTCTACAAAGCTAAGAGAAAGGTAAAAAAGCTGGGTGTACATCGTGCTGGGGCAAATTATAGCGACCTCGCAAAGGGGGGTTGCAACCTTACCCAAGATGCAGGTTCCTTTCACAGGAGAATTATCAGACTGCATTCAAGTATGAGTCCTTCTGCTAGGTGACCAATTGAACTGGCGATTGGGAGGGAAGCATCCAATGATGTACCGTCAAGTAAAGTTGGTTGGGGATACTTCATAAGAACCTTGGGAATCTAGAGAGCTTATACCGATCTTAGAGGAGTGGGAGGATATCCTCCTTTCAACTCAACACCCCACCGGCCAAGTGAACAGAATTGCAAACAGCTCCCAAGGCAACCTCCACCGGTTGCTGAAATTGCCCACATCCGCTTAGATTGGCTCGACGTGACGAACACTGGTTGGCGTTGGTGCGACTGCTGCTGAGAACATACGTTGCATACAAGCAAACAAGGACAGGAGATGGACAATTTGCCATAAGCATTCGAGCAACACTTAAAGAAACAAACGCGCCAACAAGCAATATGAGCAGTTCCATGCATCGGAGATTGAGATAGAATGTTGATACCCCCAAAGCATTTCATGTCATTTATCCAAACTCAAAGCTACTGATTAAGAAAAACCCGTTGCGAATGCTGAGCCCTGATTAAGAAAACCCCCGTTGATTGATCAGAAGGTCCCGCTGGAAGAGAGGAATTCCCGCGCCACGCAGATCCATTCCGTGCCAGCACCATGGGCCCTGGGGCCGTGAGCACACCGCCCAAGCGGTGCGCTGCGAGGCAGATTTCCGGAATGAGCAGGGCCCAAAACGGCCCAACTGGGGTCTTTCTGTCTTGTTTTACCTCCGGGGGGTAAGGGACACTTTTGGGTTGCCTGGCATGAACACCCTCCTTGCCATAACTCTGCCTTGCAGTCCACCCTCCAGGCATGCAGCCGAGGTTTAGTATGGCGTTCTGGCAACAATCGCTGATTGATGTGCTTTGGGAAGGTCCCTTTTGACGGGGGATCCTTCACTGTTTGTGGACGCACCACGACCACACGCCTCTCATGTATTCTCATTTGTTGGATGGTCAGAAAGAATCACTCGGCTGGCATACCCTGTACAAATAGAAGAAGGGGAGGGGTGTGTGGTTCCATTCCGGGAACCCCCAAATTATTCCCTTCCACACGCGTGGGGCAAGTTTTGGTTTTGCATTTTGCCAGGGACCCCCTTCATTGTGGGAGATGGTTGTTTGCTCGCCACTTTCTGCGATACCCTTCGGCAACGGATAGAAACGCATGTTTGTAATTGGCCGCTTCCAACCGGTGAGGACCCCAAGCGTTCTCTTTGAGGGCGAGCTCACGGTGGTGCGGCGCGAGAGCGCAGAGACGAGGCGAGACGAGTCGACGAGTGTGGCTGTGTGAATGAAATTGCCCTTTTGTTTGGCTGCCAATAGCCAATATTGAATATTGTTTAAAGTGCACAAAGAGAAACATGTTTATTCTGACCCCGTGTTTAACACCCAGAGTTGTTCCGTTTGTTGGTCTCCTAATTGTTGGACAATGTTTCAATCCTCACATGGTTGATCAGGCCTAGTTCTGCTTTTTTGTTCGGGGCTTGGGAGTTTGGGGAAATGCATGTTTGTATAAAGGGGCCTTTATTATTAGGGGAGAGAGGACTAAGGTAGAAACTCAATTGCAACTAGCTTCGGGGGCCCAAAGGTCGATTTGTTTTGACGTCGATTTCTGCCGGCCATAGTGCGTCACCCTTGCCAAAGGGATTCAGGTACAACTCAACCACACCCTTTTGCCATTATTTCTGGGAACGGGATCGTTAGGCGCTGCATCCTGAGCCACAATGTCTTCAAGTACTTCGCTTCCGACGGCAAGCCGCTGGCGAGATTCCCCATCAGCTCGAGCAGCTCACTGGAATTGATCCCTGGAGGCGACTTGAAAACTTGGGGGCCTGGGCCCCGGACCTGTGCAGGTTTGGGCTTCCAAAATGAACTCCCCCAATGTGACACCGGAGAGCGAAGGGTGAAGATGTGCCAGTTCCTTTCCCACGCTTTTGCGTAGTCAGGTATTTGTCACCTTGACAGGGACGGATTGGGAAGCCGATAAAGCTTGTTTGGAAGCTCGCACAGAAGCGGGAATCGAGGTAAACAAGCTGTTTGTACAACTCTGAGTTGCCAAGGACACATCCAGCGGGGCACAAACACATTGGATTGTTCACTCGGCGCTTTATTTAGTTGAGTATGGCAAACGATTCTTGTCAAGAGGCTTGCCCCAACAACGAGATCGGCTTTTGGTCGACACCTGATGTTGGCATGTCGACACTTGATTGTCTTTTTGTAAGTTAAGGTCCTTGGGACAGGACCAGCTGTTCTGCTCAAGCAATTGTAAGCTCGGCAAACTTTCTCAGCAACATCCACCGGTGCCAGCAGACATTCTGATATACTTGGAACCAAAACTAAACATAGAATCTGATGTGTCATACCATTAGAGGGCCTTCTCCGTGACAAATTCTTCACAGGACTCGAAGGTTCTTTGGTGATCATCACGAGAAAGGTCCCCTCATGCCAAAAGTGATAGACGCAGCTCCGGCACACGCCTGAAATGATTACCCTTCCAAAAGATGATCACCGTTGGGGGAAAAGCACATGGCACACTACCAGTTGAGTTCCATCATCCCTCTTACTTGCAGAAAGGGAACGGCACAATCTACTTGTAGCCTGGTGCATGGTTGATTTCCGAGCATGTGTCGAAAGCGGACCCCATGTCATGTGTTGAAAGCGGATTTTCAGGCGGGCCCCATTTGGTTGAACCCATCCTGGTTGTAGGAAGTGGGGTTTTAGGAATCCCGCTTTTTGCGATAGCAAAGGGAACCCCTTTAGAGCCCTTAGGGTGACATACTCATCAGGCTGGTCCACTCTGTCACCCAAACGGGCATTTGGGTGCGTCTTGTCTTGAGGATATCTTTTCAAGAGCTGGTTTTAAGCAGGGAGCCCATGCTCGGAGGTCTCGCGGTTTAGCGCCCATGTTCCCTGGAGTTACTCAAAGCGCCGTTGCCGTTGCGGTTTCGGCGCAGGATTGCGGCTTCGACATGGCGCCAAGGTGATCGTGCTGCAAGGGCCGGCAGGGCCCCCGGCCCAATCACGAAAAGGGAAGCCAAAACGACACCAAGAAATGGTAAAGTCTTTCGGGGGTCCCTATTTTATGAGAAACAACCATATCCAATTCTGTTCCGGAAAAGGACTGGCAAGCTTGAGTCTCGCCTCAAAAACAGTAGCAAAAACGGGGTTGGATAAAAGAGATGGGTTTCTCTGCGGACAATATTTGACCATTGTTCCAAGGTTCTTTGCAGCAACCGTATTTACAGGTGTTGTGAGGGGTGTCACCCCTTCGGTCTGCGGGCCGTCACTGAGAATAAGCATATGAATCATATGAAAGCCATTTGTCTTTTGGTCATCCCTTGCCAGACGTGAGTCTAGACGAAACTGGGCAAATGCAGGCGTGTGCGAGCAGGCATGTGTGTTTGTGTGTTCCCGTTTCTCAGATCAGCAGGTTTCATGACTTACAGGCTTTTTTTGCACTTTATTTTTGCGGAAGTTGACAGAACACCATGGGATGGTTGAGGAAAACTAAGGCAAACCTACTTGATCAAAGGGACGGCTGAGGAGAATGAAGGGCTTTCTGCGGGACACAACGGGACTGGTTTTTGAAAAATCAAGGCTGTTTGAAGCAACCAGAAAGCAACTTGTAGGGACTTCCTTTCGGGCAACCCACAACGAATAGATTCATTTCGAATCCAAAAACAAACCTCAAGGACCGGCTGTAGCCCTGAATCAAAAGGCCACTCTATTCCCTTTCCCCACAAAATGCTCAACCCTGTAAAAACTGCTCTACAAGCCTTAGTCCAGTGACCATCCGGCAAGATACTTAATGAACTTGTTTCTATGTCTCTTCCTTTGCATTGTCCGCTCAACTACAAGCTGCTTGGTTACCAACTAAAAAGCTCTCTTGGTTTTCCTAAATGGGTTGTCAACTGGTGCAACCCCAGGCGGACCAAGTGGCTTTGTGGCGCCAGCACTTGGAGCTGGCATTCCAGAAGGCCTCAAAGGCGTCGCTCCTCGGAGAAACTCTGGCGAGTTGTTTTTTCTTTTTCTGTTCGACAATTGCTGTCCAAGACTGTCGCTGGCAACGGGACTGCGTAAGTACGTCAATACTGAACGATATGCACACCACAACCTGGCGATAGTGGCCTTTACACCGGGTTTTTGATGTGTTTTTGAGAGGGAGACTGGCTTGGATCTTGATGAGAGCGGGACTTGGGTTGTCGTGGGTCCAGTTAAACTCAACAAAAGGCTGATAAGGCCGCTGCTGGGTGGGTGGGTTCAGGGTTGACTCTGGGTGGGGGTTGGCATGGAACTTTGTGGCAGGTGTGCCCCTGGTTTAGCAGTGGCCTTCAGGTTGTTTTCAAATCCGCCCTCATGGCCTAAACCAGCCTTGAGCACCCCACAACTACCACCAAATGAGAGTCTATATGTAGCTCTTCCAATGAGTCGAGGCGGATGATGGGGAACAGGCCAACCGATCCCCAACAGGTTAACGGTTCTGTGCCAGAGGGAAACATTAAACCGGAAGACTCCAGCCCGACCTGGTCCAGGTGATGCTTGGGATGTTGCCAGCCCTCAGATAACACATGTCGACTCTTTTGAGGCCGGGCGACGAGAAGCGGAGAAAGACAATGGGACCGGAGCAAGATGGCAAAAGGAATAGAAGAGGACAGGAAAAGGAACAAAAGAGGATGGGAGAAAACCAGAAGAGGGCCGGAAGAAGGCAGAACTCCGAAAGCACATCAGCAAGTTGTGGACTTTGGATCGGTTTTTGGAAGCAAGGGAAGAGGAAAGAGGTACAGAGGACAAGCAGAGGTTCAGGTCCTGACTCAGCTTTGACATTCTCTTACGCGAGTCGGGGGTCGGGAGCTTTGGTCGCAGGCTCAATTTCCCTGGGTGTAAGGTTTCGCTCCCTGATTTTGTTGACCTTGCCAAGTAGCGACCCCTTTGAAACCCTTCATGGACAACCTTCGTCAACATCTTCAGTTTGGGCGCCCTATTGAGCCCTATTCTTCAATACGCGAAGCAACCACCAAAACCTTATACACATGCGCACACAAAAGCCAATCGCTTGCCCTTTTCGAAACTTGGTGTCGTTTTGAAGCGCTTCACTATTATGAACTTGGCTGCCTGTGTGACACAAATTATGGCGCGCATTTTCCATCGGACGTGGCTTGTTTACAAATATATTGTGTGATCGTCCCCTACTTTAAGAAGCGCCCTGGCCCCAAACCCCAGCTACTCTGAGGATTGCTGCAGGAAACTCACCGGGAAATGGTTCCAGGTACTTTCCAGGGGTCCAAGTGCCCTCCCAACAAACTTGGCAGCGCACGACGCAAATTTCAAAAGCGAGGTTGTCTACCCAAACGGGCTCGCGTGCTAGTTTTTTTAAAAGTGTTGGAAGGCGACTCGATCGGGGAATGACCCAAACTAGTCCCAAACCGCAATGTTTCATTTGGTCATTGGGTGGGCAATATCCCCAACTTGTATTCTTAGGCGCTTCAATTGTCCCAAAAGCCCGTGCAAAAGCCCCGGGCACTGAGGCTGGAGCTGAGGATCTTCAGCCCCAGCGGGCAGCACTTGTGCACTGTGCTGGCCGAGCATGCCTGGCGTGCCCGCGATATGAAGGCGACCGAACGGGTCGGGCCAGGGTCCCTCCTAGAAACAACCCCTAAACAGGTCTAAAATGTGTAGAAACCTCTGGAAAGGCTGCCTTGTATTCAGTTGGTTGCAGCCCTCCGCACCCTGAACCAAGAGATTGGGGGAAGGGGTGACCTCCCTTATAGTCCCTCCTTTTCTGTCGCCCTTGGAGATCTTTACTTCCATTTTCCCTTCTGTGGGAGTGGTTGTAATCCCCACCCGACTTTTCTGGGCCACTGGCCGGGCATCAACCCAGCGGTGGGGGGGACCCGGCCCACCAAAAGAGACCCGCTTCCTTACCCCATGCATTTTCCTGCAATGCACATACAAGGCAACTAAAGTAACGACCGGCACCCCACCTGCCCCTGTTGTGGGTGGGTAGGTGTTGTTTGGCAAGAAAAAATACTTGTTGGCAAGCCATTGCTCACGAAGGCGTGTTTCTTTTGGCATGACGGTGCCATATTAGCAGAATTACTTTGTTCTATAGTTTGAATGCCGGGAAGCACTACTTGTGATCCGTAAAACCAAAATAGCTGAAGCATGAGTCCAACTACCCCGAGGACTGAACCAGTGAGTATACAACAGTCTTGCTTGGGCAGCACTTCAGCATTTCTTACAGGATGGCTGTCTTGTATATATCCTCACGACTACGGTTGAAGCAGGGTTGCAAGCTACCCTGATCTCTCAGAACTTGTTTGTTTTGCCAAACCTCCGTTGACGAAGCTCCCGTCCAATTTGTTTGCCGCGGCCCGATTTGTTCAACGAGGCAATCATCAAGTCAGCCACCGGGATTTCGCCCGTGGAGCAGCGCCTTGTCTACGGACTCCAGGTCTTGGAGGATCAGGATGTGCTGGAGGGCGTGCTTCCGCTCCAGGCCCGAAAGCGTGGTTATCGATGGCTCTCAACAAATCCCCCGCAAGGAAACAACATGGGGGGAAGCTCAAAATAGGTTTTCTTGGCTTTGCTTTGATTGAAACCAACAGAAGGGTACCCAAAAAAGGACTCCCATTTGCACCGCGGAGAGTCTCTCAAACCGACATCAGGAGAAACGATCCTGATCAGAGAAGTGCTCTAATCGTTGTGTTTCCCCTTCTTGAAAAAGAGAGACCTGTTCTCCGTTAAATTGGGGTGTATCCCCAGGACTACGCCCTCATTCGCCCAAGACATGCCCATGTCAAAATGTTATGGCATACTTGTGGACTGCGGTCGCATAAACGGTGGATTGCCTTTGGAATAAATGGCTGTTTGTCCCCCATGACCAAACAAAGCATAGCAACCTAGAACAAATTGACTTGCGATGGGCCCGGCAGGATGGGTCCTCGCATGACCTGTCGCTGGTTCGCTGCCCGCCACCTGCCGAGATGGAGCATCCAGGACCGGCAAAGTTGCTTCCTCGATCAACGACGCCGCTGGCCGACGCCACTTGGATCGACAACCAAACAGCACCAATCTCAAAGATTTCACCGCACCCCGCAGATTAAAGCCCACAAAGAAGTGAATAAACTTTGAAACAGGATAGTATATGCATGTGTCATGCTTCTGCTGTGGGGACTCGTCTTTGGGTCTCTGGGTGAAGTTGTCGACAATGAAGTCCAATCGAGTTCTTGTGAGCTTCTTCGGAGGTCGCAGTCATTCCTCGCCCTGCCAACAGGCAGATCCCAAGAACGATGCTCAAGAGAGGAGTTACTCAGCACGTTGCAAGCAGCATGTGCTCCTTGACTGCCAGATTTGAGTCGTAATCAAAACCTGAAGTTCAAGGAGCTCCCAAAGATTCAAAAGGGCATTTTGCCGCACCCATCTGTGATTGGGACTGTCTCCTGCTAAACTGCATCTATACTTGTTGAAAACAAGGGAACCCCAAAATGGCAGTCTCCAGGTGACGTTTTTGGATGACCAGTGATGCCCCTAGAGGAGTGCGACAGGTGCAATGGAGGGGTATCAAGTTTATGGTTCAGCCCCCTTCATCAGTTGACCTGTTGCTAGACTGGAGCAAAGTGCAGCTATCCGCGCTCAGCGTAAAGACCGGGGAAGAAGAATGTATGCACTGGGACACTCACATACTCCCACAAGCACAGACAGAGACGCAGAGTATAAAATGCGACTCCCAGCGCTAGTGACGCTAGTGGTACCTGTGAGTTTCCTTGGCAGGACTGCGCCTGGACCGGGCCTCGGCCTTGCGTGCCGTGCGAGGCGACTGGCGCCAGCTGGGCCAGGTGGATGCTGCCTACAGGCGGGTCTTGTGCAGGTCCTGCACCTGGAGATCCCTTAGTCCAGGTTTAGATGCGTGAACGTTTGGTTCCCTTTCTAGGTCGTTCACTGGGTTCCACCTCCTTTTTCCTTCTTTTTTGTTTGGTTAGCTTCCCGCTAGAGGGGTCAACACCGGAAGGGATGAGAGAGGGGAAGCCTGATTTGCGTGGAAAGCCGTTCGCAGCCTTCAGGGCTGATAAATGACACCTCGGTTTCACCGCAGCACATGTTGGTTGCAAGGGCATGCCGGTGCAGGCATTGGGTTGTGGACTTCAAGTCGATGTACAGCTTTGACTGGTCAACCGAATTCATTTGCTCAAGCAATGCCACTCCAAACAGGCGACACGGCAAGCATTGTCATGTGGGCACACACCCAAAACTTCTATTGGGCATTTTAGAAGGAGGTTCCAACTGGTTTAGCAAAAATTATAGGAACACCTATAATATTATATAAGCCTTCAAATTGTGTAGAACCAAAAGTCAACAGATGCGCGCTTTGCATTGTTGTAAACGCGCTGCCCGCCTCGGCCAGGGTTCCTTTGATCTCGAAGGACAGCCCAAGGGTCAAGGGGACAGGGGCTACTAGTGGTTGCCCGAAGTCGTGGCGGCGACCAAAAGTCGTGGCGGGCTGCGTGCCGCCAATGTATTGCATCTTTTTGCGCAGTTAGGTTTGGTTTAATATTTTCATCATAGTGTGATTTCACTGCGTGCCCGCATGTTTTTCGAACTTTCGAGTGTCGTTTTGGGTCGAGGCCTGTTAGGACCATTTTGTTGGTGTGCCCTTGTGTTTGCGCTCAATCCTTGTCGTGTGTTTGTTTTGGGGACGTTGTCCTGAGCAGGCGTCCCCATGCAGTTTTGTTGCGAAGCACATGATCCAGTAGAGGAATGTTCTGAGCATGTGGTTGCTGTCCCGTTGTGTTTCCGCCCAACTGGCGCTGCCTTTGCTTTGGGGAAATCGTCCTGATCGGGTGCCTCCATGTAGTTTTGTTACCCAACCCGTGCTCCTGCGCTTGCGGGTAGAGGCATGTTCTGACCACTTGGTTGGTTTTGCTTGCTCTTGCGTGCTTGCTTGCTTGCTTGCTTGCGTGCGTGCTTGCTTGCTTGCTTGCTTGCTTGCGCTTGATTTTGCTTGCTCTTGCTTGCTTGCTGGCTGGCTTGCTTGCTTGCTTGCTTGCTTGCTTGCTTGCTTGCTTGCTTGCTTGCTTGCTTGCTTGTTTTCGCTTCATGTGGACCATTGGCTTGTCCAGCCAACTATGGACCTCGCATGGACCTCGCCTGGACCTCGCCTGGACCTCGCCTGGAAGCCATGTTCAAGATAGATTTTCAACAATCATTTTGATGACTGGGAGCTAGGGTGTCTTTTCATTCAGGGGATGACTAGTAGAGAAGCATAAGTGACACATCTTTAAGGCTTTGTTCCAAGGGTCTGGTGGCATAAGAAACTGCATTTTTGAACCATCAAACGTATAGTTTTGAAGGTTTCAGACATTCCAATGTTGCACTTTGACATGCGACGTGCCATGTGGATTTGCACCACGTGCTCTGACTTTCGGCGCCCTGCCATGACTTCGGTTTTATGCGTGCCCCATGCGCGGTTGGGGTGCCTGCAGTGACTTCCGGCCCCCTGCTCTGACTGAGGGCGGGCGCCAAGTAGGTGACTTTCCAAGGGCCTGGGCACAAAAGCTAGGGCCGGCTGGGACTGGACGCATAAATTTGCGTGGCTTGGCTGCAGCGAGCTACAGCCATAGTCCAAGGGCAGGCTAGAAGCCCCAAGAACTGAGGGCAGCGGGAGGCAGCTGGACAGCCGGAGCAGTACGCAAGGGCAAGGGCACACACGAGGGCCAGAGCTAACCAAGAGCAAGGGGCGCAGAACTGAAGGTAGGGAGCAGGAGTAGGCAGGGCCTTGGGCTCAGGGGCTGAGGCTAGGTGGGGGATCGCTTCAGAGCAGCTCGGCCACGCGACATGGGTCGCGTGACGCCAGTTCGAATAATGAACGGCCCGGTTGAGGAACAAGGGAAACCCTGCTATCTACTGCATGTATCCTGGGTGCTGTGCTTCGGCCTCAGTTACGATGATTCCCTTAGTGAATATTCAGGGAACCAAGGCTTTTTGAAAGGAGCCGATGGCAAAGTCAGCTTGCATGGGTCTATTAAAGCAAAACATCACCAAAAACTCGGGCGGTCCCGGCAGATGATTTTCAGGCACAGACCCATGTGCGTGGGTGTCACGGTTTGAAAGGATGGGTGCCACATTTGCTGAGCCCTGGCGAGGCAAGATCGGGAGATTGTGATGATGGCTGTAGCACAGGACTTGGTAGTTGTTTGTTGCCGCAGCTAAGACGCCACCGAAAACGTGTGCCCTTATGCGGGTGCTTCCTTTGCTTGGGTTGCCCGAAACTACAGACAAAGGACTTAAAGCAAAGGGGGACTCCCATAGGGAACTCCCCAAAAACCGATACCCCAAGCATGATACCTTACATCTTTGGAGAGAAAATAATTGCACACCTTTGCCACCAATTCAACCAACACCCCAACCGATGCCCTGACCTGTCGAATGTGAACACTCACCCATTTGCCATGAGAAGCCTCTTTTTTTGTGTTGTCACAGCAACCAGACATCTTGGAGCAGTGTGATGTTTCACGCGCCAGTGGCAAGAAGCGCGCAAGCGTGTATTCAGAAGCCTTTGGCTGAATCTGCCTCAAACAGCGCGTGAACACGCTGGAGTTGCGAAGCATGATAGCTGCCGTTTGCCCTTCTTTAAAACAATCCAGAGTTGACAACATTGTTCAGCTGACAAGTGATCACGTTGGTTCACGGCGCGCTCATATCTTTGGATGTGCTCACTCAAGACTTAGAAAGCTACGGAGCCCCATAAGGGAACGGACCAAAAGTTGCAAATTTGGTTTGATGTTCTCCCCCCAGCAACCTTTTTTGTGGACAATCCGGAAAATGGGGGGGCCCGCATGCCCTTCCGAATGGCTTCCTAAGCCGCCTCAAAAGAGGCCCCAATCCTCGCAGGGGTGTTTCCCAAATAGGGCAACCTTTTACATGGTACAGTGTCCTGTTGGTTTTCCTGTGACACTACGTTTAGAAGCTCCCCATGTCCCTTCTTACTAGCTCCAAAACGCGTCTCGAATCACGCCTAGCCAAGCAGTTCCAGACTGGCGAGCCGGGCCACGCAAATCTATTTAGTTCGGATATTTAAGTTGGTTGGCCGCGCCAGCGGTCATTCGGAGGTAGAATAAAATCCTGTCCAGATATTTAAACAGGGCTCCTTAAAAGATACATTTTGCCCAGTTGAAACATGGATTTTTCCACCAAAAAAAAGAGAAACCGCCATTTACAAGGCAATGTTCAGGTGTATAATGTAGGGATCCCTGTTAAATGGCAACGCCGTATTTGTGTTGTAGGCTGGGTAATCAAGTCTCTTTCAAAGAACAGAACAACTTTTTGCCTACAAATCGACTTCCAGGACTGCATGGCCTTGCAGTATGCCGCTGACTTCTTGCGAGCAGACCGCGAGGTTATCTTGGCCGCGCCTTGACGAAACTTCCAAAACAAAGCGGGACCCTAATTCGAAGTGCTTTGCCCTCTTTTGGGCACCTTTCAAGCTGTCAAACCCCTGTGGGTAGCTTGTTGAAAAGCGTTTGATTTCCTTTAACGTTTCCCCTCAAAGCCATGAAAAAAGCCGGGTACCCTATTGAACAGAGCTTGACTTTCATTTTGGTTTCCCTTTCAAGCTATAAACAAATGGGGAGCTGAAGAGTGCTCGATTGTCTGTTTGGCCTTTTCAACCTTTTCAGCAGTGCTTGGTTTCCTGTCAACAATATGAAACAAGTGGACCGCACTATAAAATGCTCCCCGATCTCTGTTGAACACAGCCCCCAACCGGGCTCACAAAAAAACATGGCGATTTGACTTGTGACAAGGCCAGGCAGCACCCCTTCAACAGATGACAAGTCATGAAGGTTTCCTCTGGCATGGGTTGCGTTATGTCGATGATTTATGTATACATATAAAAAAAATAATCATGTATGCGCTGATCAGCCAACGCACACGTCACACCAGCCTCAGTATGGTGCACGAGCCCATGGCGGCTGAGGCGGTTCACCAGTGTGGCTCCGCCATCCAGTTCGCCAGCTCCGCGTTGCGGGAGGATCCGGAAATCCTGTCCCATGCCGTTGGCCCCTCGGCACTCGGAGCTGAGGTTGGTTTTAAAGGAGGCATGGATATATGAATCCACGAGAATCCATTTTGGAGCTCTTTCGGTGCTGGTTGGAAACCATAATTGACACAAATAAACTAGGAGCACAACATGACTCATTCAGCCTTTGATTTTCGACCGGCCGCAGGGGATGTTTCAGACGCACACCGGATGGCATCCCAACCCGCGGTTGGGCTACCCTCAGGTCAGGTATTCGGGTTTGGTGAGTGGGGATCTGACCTCAACAATGACGGCTATGCTGTTTGCGTTCCCTCATTAGCGCCTTTGTCAATCTATATGGCACCCATTTGGGGTCGAAAAACAAGGGGTTCTATGGGTTCTGAAGTTCTTTTCCCAAGAGGGGAGGCACGCAATGCCCCCCCCTCCCGACGCATTTGAGGCTACTGACATTGGCCTACTGGCCCGACGCCCTGAACTGCGAGAAGGCAACAGCTGTTTCAAAGTGGTGGGACCCTCAAAAGCAGGCGGGTCTCAGCTTCCCTCCCTCCAAGCCAGCCCAAATCAGATATTGTTCAAAGGCGGCCCCAAACCCTAAAAAGGGACCAACAGATGCGCCCATGACACGGCTGTGAACCACAAATGTTAACCCCATCAAAAATGGCTGGTGCTACAGAAGTCCAACCATGTAAGCGACGTCCACCAAAGAGTCCCTACTTCACCCACCTGAAGCTATTGATTGCTTTCAAACTCAAAGTGGCAGTTGAGGAACGTTTGACTCCATTTACCGTGGCAAGCCCAGTTTCAAGGGAAGCCAAATATGAAACCAAACATATGCAGGTCCTAGTTTGAGTGCCTCCAGCTTTTCAATTTGGTTGAAAGGGAAGGGAGGTGAACTCGTGGGTCCGACCAAAGGCAGCCAACACCGACTTCGCCCCAAGAGAAGCTCACTTTAAATTGGCCCAAACGGTGATGTTTATAGAAACTTCCAAATGGGAAAAATGGACACGTGACTTGTTGGTGATAGTCATGCCCCAAGCTAGGTGCAAGGTGTGTGGCACGGATGGGACACATCATGATAAGTCGGTGATGAAAGCCACTTGGAGCGGTCTTGTCCCCAATTGACACACACACACACAGGCATACACAAATTAGGGGCGCCTTCGCATGCCGCAGAGCTCAAGGATCACTGAAAACCACACAATCCATAACATTGATTTCCCCTTTACGGCAAGCAAAATGGAATGATACTTATTCAGACCATTTTAGCATCCAGATCGTCTTGCTGGGCAGTCGAGTGGTTTGCATGTTCTTTTACAATGCGGGACTGAACCATGCGAACCCATGCGTCCCCCCATAGGGATGCTTGGTAGGGATTATTCCCACTTAGTGTGTACCATATTCCGGGGCAAGAACCGTGCGATACGTCGCGGACGATGTCGAGCTTAATCTTCCTTCAATAGCGAACTAAGTCCCCAAATGACGCTTAAACAAAGTGTGGAACATTTCCCCTAAATGGTAGATAAGGCGTATTTCCCAAGTGATAGATAAACCGTGCAAATGATACGCTATGACGCAGGTTATCGATAACCTGTGGTAGATTCCCCCTTGGCACATGTTCCCAACATGATATATATACAAATCAGTTGTGATGGATGTTACCAAAATGACTGGTAAAACGTTCCACTCCGTCCTCGTCCACCTGCTCACCAAGATGTGCCCTAGAGTTTTGCCCACAGATTTCCACGGTTAGAACTGTCCGTCAGATTTGTCCACGGCCGGTTTCCCCTTTTCGCCCCGAGCGCGGGGCGTGGCGTGCCATGGATCGGCGGGTGACCATCGTCACCGAGGGCTCCCGAGGGGACTGGCAGCCCTCGGTGGCTGCGGGCGCGGCGCTGCGCCAGGCGCAAACTGTTCAACTGTTCAACGCTTAGCTTGAATAGAACATGTCTCGTTTTATGGGCGCTCCATCTTTCAGCCTCATTTGGTTGGGGTGGATACTTGAAGGAGACAATCCCCTGGCTCTAGCACCTCCTGCCCAGGGTTGGGGTCCCTCCAGTCCAGATTGGGGTTTCAAACATCACCTGTGCCAGGGGTGGTGCCAGTGGGAAATTGGGATCTCTGTATATTGTATGGAAAGAATAGGAGACGTGAGCTGAGCCTGTCTGAAGCAATTGTGTCAGCGGTTTTGCACCCCTTCTTGAGTTCCATTGGGCCCTTGCACACTGTTGACCCTGCTCCATGATCCCCTCGGCAAAGGAAATAAATTTCTTTGGGTTTCCTTTGGTTTCGCCTGTTCATCCAATTGTTCCACCCTGCCAGGATCTTTGGAGCTTGGGTAAACAAAACCATAAAGCAAGGGTTCGCCATTTGTGCAAGCCCCCGTTCGGTCGCTGGGTAGCTTTGTAGGCTTCAACCCCCACCCCGAATTTCCGCATAAAAGTCCAGGGACCCAACCCAATTGTCCTGTGTTTGGGGAGTTCTTTGTCCATGCTGAAGTTAGGTCAGAATACCCCCAGTCCAGGCAGCGGTCCAGTTGTTGGGGGAGGGGCGAACCCTAAATTTCAACTACAAAAGCCAGGGCGATGAGCCCAAACCGACTGCATAGTGGTGGGTTCCAATGCCAATGACATGTTGTGCGGTCCAGACAAGTTCGAAACTGAACGACAAGCCCGTGCCCCCTTTTTAACCAAACGCTCTGGCTTTGCGAGGCGGGATTCCAAGTCCAGCTGCTGGGGTCGACAGATGTCAAGGCCATGGCACAGCAATACGATCTCTTCTTCGTGGAGACTTGGCCCATCTCCAGCAAGGAGCCTCGGGTACGTGTACGGGTACGGGCGGGGTCCTATTGCACGATGTTGACCCTGAAATTGTTTACCCGTCCTATAATTAAGGGGTGGTTTCCGCCAAGAGCGATTCACCCCCTACTAAAGGGGGACACCTTGCTTATCAATCAGCCAGACTTGCTTAATTCGGGATTCCCATTGCTTGTTGTCCTCTTGTTGATTTCTACCCAAGATTGCATTCGAGTCGAAGCGGAGATGCTAGGGTTTTGTCGAAACTTGTTCCCCCCAGGTGAAGGATACCCCATTTCAGCTGGGTGAATTGATGATATAGTTCGCTCAGATAGTTGCGACAAAGCATCGACAACAGAACATGACGGTTGTTTTGGTGAAACAAGGACATAGACAAATTTTCCTTGAGGGATGGTTGTGGTCAAATGTGCTTTCCGTCCGGGAACAAGCCAATATTTTGTGCAAGCAAGCCACGGAGCAAGCAATCCGATTATGTGCCTCACTGTGTTTCTCGCAACTCTCCATCAATTGCGGGAAAGAGGAGTCTGCGAGAATAAGCTGTTCTTGGTTTTTCTGTGGCGCGCCCTTCAACTTTCAATCTGTTTGGAAAATGACTGTTTCATCAGTCGAACAAAGCTGCTCACATGTTGCAAGGTAGCATTTCTCAATGTGAACCAGATAAGCTGTTCAGTTTGTACGTGGACCTTCGTGTCAGGACTACTCGACGCAACCAAAACAAGTGGAGGCAATCACAGAAAACAACTTTGTCAAGCTCACTGCCGCTGCGGCCGCCATTCGGGAGCCCATGCACGAACTCGTCCTCACGAGAACGGTGGAAGCTTTGAAGACCTTCAAGCCAGACGTTGCCTGGATGCCCTGGTTACACCCTGCAAACTCCTCCATGTTTTCACACGATCGCCCACGTAATGCCAGGTGTTGGTTTCATTTCTGAGTCTACGGGGTTCCAGCCCAACCAATGGTTTTACTTTTCGTTGGTGAGTGTCCTCTTTCAAATCGACCAACAAAGCTGTCTTTCTTTGTTCTTTGGAGAGTTCCCCTTTTGAATCAACCAACACAAGCCGTATTGTTTTGGTAGGTGGGCTTCCTTATCTCAGCTCAACTAAGTAAATACATCCACGAAGACAACTATGCTGCACCACTGTGCAAACAAGGTCGTGCTCACCAGCCTCTTGTCTTTTGTTGAAACCCTCTTCATCTGCAAGGCAGGGTTGCGCCAACCCATCGTTTGAAGATGAGTGCGTCCAAGAATAGGGGACCCTGAAGGGTGGTATCTTTGGCTTTGCCTTTGGTCTTCCTTTAAGAGGAGGACACTGTAATACAGCACGACAGCACACACAAACTATTGCCGCGAACAGGACAGCGCCACTGTTGCCAATGTATCCAGCGCGTAAACAAATGACCACCTGAGCCCGTGAATGATGTTGAGGATCAAGCAGTTTGGGACCCATGAGGCTGGAAATCTCCAAGCCACATCAAAACCCAACCACCACCACCAGAGATCAAGGCCGGGGATGCTGGGGATGCAGTCCAATGTGCAGAACAACATTTTTTTGTTGTTGTTGCGCCCAACATGCCCAACATGGCCCCACAACCCTTCGCCTTTGTTTCGGGTGACTGGGTGACTGGCTAGCATTGGGTCCCCTGCGAGGCGTTGAAGATCCCAGTGCTCTTCTTTGGACTGCAGCCGATGCTGGCTAGCAGACATGTGGGAGTCATGGGAGTGTTCCCGGTATTGCCAGACGTGTTTCGCCTCAACCTGCGACTTTGGGATTGTCTCAATCGGCACTTCGTGAGCATGGTTGCCTGGCTGAGCTCTGGGGGTGGTCTCAGAATGGTGGTACCCAAATGGTCGGTGTCCCTTAAAATACCAACCAAAAGGGGGTTTGAGAAAAATCCGGTGTCACCACAAGTCTCTTCCTTGTTTGGGCCAGTGGCACTGCTTTTTTGGACCAGTGCCTGTAATACCCATACGTGTTGAATTCCCCTGTTGAAAAGAGGATCCTCTCGGAGGTCGGAAGGGTTGGGGGTTGGAAGATGGTGGGGGTGGGCGGGCTTGAGAAGGGGGGGGCGGGGAATGCATACCTGGACCCTCCGGCGGCAGAACTTTCTGCCGAAAGGCCCCGGCGGCAGAAATTTCCGCCGAAAAGCCCCAAAAACGCCGCCCGAGAAAAAATCGCCGAAACGCAACAAACACTCCGACATGCTGAAACCTGCTTCCGCGAAATTCCGCCGATTTCCCGCCGAATTCCGCCGATTGCCCGCCGAATTCAGCCGATTTCCTGCTACTGTGTTGCACAGAGCTTGAGTTTGAAAAAAACGCTGCCAGGGAAACTAAAAACGCCGCCAACAGCAAAAAGGCGCCTTTTTCCAAAAAGGCAGAAACTTCTGCCGATTTGGGTGGTCCAGGTATTTGCACTCATTGATTTGCAACACACACTCTCCATGACACTGCTAGCGAGGTGAACACAACCGCTGGCCCCATATTGGAGAAGCTCCTCCAGGCGCGGGGGAACCCATGGTGTGGTTGCTCCGTGGCTTCCCTTCAAAACAGCCATTCGGAAAAACACGCTTTGTAACCTCGCGCCTCTTGAAGGTTCCCTTTCTTGGGGGGACGATGGTGAGGTGTAATTCACCCGGAAACATCCCTGAGGAAATGCCTCTTTGACCCTGTTAGGTGCCCAAAAGGAGTTTTTCAGCCAGCTTGGCAGAGCTCTACGAGCATTGCAGCTGCCACCCCCGGTACCCCATCCTCTTTGGGATCAGCGGGACTTTGCATCTTCCTCTGCCGCCGGACTTCACAGAGATGTGCAAGGTTCTAGGCGCGGTTGGGTGGCATTTTACGGGCAACCCTACAAGAACCTGCCCTATGTTTCAGGGTTGCCCCTTTTAGGCAATCACGCCCCTTTTAGGCACACACTCAGATGTTGCGGGTGGCCAAGCCAGAGGCCAACCAATGCAGCCAGATCGTGGTCCCACAATAGTGGCTCAAGCAGGGGTGCCTTGGGTTGTTTGAAGAAGGGTTTGAGGTTCTGGGCACCCAAGGATTTGTGGAGGGGGGACAAGCCGAGTCCCAAGGGGACCCATAAGGCTTCGGACACTGAGTTGTTCCTTTGGCACACTTGCAAAACATCATGAGAGGCCTTCACTTCTAGGGGGTCCTAGATCTATTATTTTTTTAGTGGTCAAGGGATCGTAAACCCCTTGACTGAGCCTACCCAATCCAACTAAGTCTTCCCAAGAAGAACGGGGGCTGCCATAAATCGGTGGGTTGCAGCTCCCAGGTTCGATGGACATTCAGCTCCCCTAATTCATAAATTGGTTTCGTGGTCTACCCTCTACAAGAGCTCCAATTAAGGGAATCGGAGATAGCAACAATCATATAATGCTTCCCAAGGGGGGATGTCCCGGTTTCTATTAAAAGGGCCCAACAAATCATAAACCATGTACTTACAGGGTCGTTGCGCCTTTGTTTCCAATTGTACCCTGTAGGGGGGGTGTTTTACATGGAACAAGAAGCATCGCCCGTGGGCAAGTTTGTAGAGCCTAAGAACTCGGTCGAGGCCCCATGGAACTTGAGAAGCAGGAGGGCAAAGACTTTGGAGAAGAGGAGACCGTTGGGGGAAGTGCATCCAAATCGTTTTCGAGATCTATTGTAAGCCAAAGGGGAATTTCATGTTTGGTGCCGTGCTTAGTATAAAAGGGTAAAAGACCCATGTTTGCGGTTGGAGGCCCCGGCCCCTTCGAGTGTTTCCTCAAAAGGACTTGGATCCAGCACCTTTTGCTACCATCCAAAAAAAAGGAGCTGACTTGGGCCATTCCCAAAGGGAAGCCAAACGGACTTGGTGTGATTTACCTTGCATGCCACTAATATGGTACCTGACAGAGGGCCCCTTCAAGACAAAATCGATTGTCCGACAACCATCCACCAGTGCTATGTTGGCTGGGTTGTTTAGAAGCAGTTCCGAATCCTTATGCCAGATGGTTGTGATTGTCCATTGTTGACGGATTAGGATTGGGAGTCTCACCCATTTTGAACAACCCAGGTTAGTGGGGAGATGTCCGTATCCCTTGCTCAAGTGAGCAGCACCCAAACCCTGGGTGGCATGTTTGGGAATGGGGTTCTGTGACATGGTTTAAATGGGCTGTATAGTACTGTACAGCCACCAAGCCAGAAGTCAATGGGTTGAGCCTGAGGAGGACTCCGCAGCCCTGGAGAGGTTCCTGGCAGAAGGGGAGGCGCCTGTGTACATTGGATACGGATCCATGATTTGCAGGACCGTTCGGTGGAATTCTCCCTAAAACGTTCTGGAGTCCCATATATAGACCCAATGAACAGCCCAAAATCAGGCGCCGCCCTTTTTGAGAGGATGAATGCATGTCGAGGGTCCCTGCTTTTTCACAGGATCATATTTGCTTATTTCAAGAGAGCCGCGATGAGATGGAAGGTTTGTTTCCCAAGCCCTCCCTTTGCCAGACAGCAATCAAGGCACTTGAGCAGCGCCCGGCTACGCAAAAGGTTTACCAGGTACATGCTGTGTCAAATGTCAAAGCGAGGCTTTCTCATGTCAAGTTTGGTTTGGGACTATTCCCCAGTCAACCTTTATCAATCATTTGCAGATTTCGGGGAGGGAAAAAAAAGAAGAAAAACAAAGGTTCATTTCCAGGGAAAAACTGATTTTCCGCGGCTCCAAATGGATCTTTGGCTTGCAAGGAGCGGGCGGTACATGACCGAGCTGAGCGTGCGCGCCCTCATGCTCGCGCAGCGACGGGGGGTGCTACTCGGAGGCTTCGCAGAGATGTCGGAGCAAAAGGTGGAAGATCTGGAGCTGCTGGCCTACTGCAAAGAAAAGGCCTGAGATCCACGTGTTCCGAAGAGGACTCGGATCCCAATCACCGGCAAACGTGGGCCCCTTTTTTTTATCATTTGGGCTTTGGGGGGGCATAATAACAGTGGCCAGATGGCTATGATTTTTAACTGGGAACGCCTCAAAGCTGATTGGCGACCAGAAATCCATGCAACAATGCCCCGCACATCCCAGGAGGGATGCGCCCAGATTCTTGGGGCCAAACTGCTTCCAGGATCACGACTTCTGGTTTTGAAGTACCCCGTCCGTGGATGACCAAATGCAACCAGCCAATCTCCCAGCCCAGCGCTGGATCCTCTGCGCGGCCAACAAGGGTTGCTTCAAAGGAAACACCCAACTTCTCTTTGCCAGTTCTTCCGAAGATCAAGACCCTCAATTAGGTTTTGTTTTGTTTGGTGGAATAAGCAACTTTGGGAGAATCCGACAAGTGCCAGGTGCTCTTCGTGGAGTCGGCAGCCCATGCCAAGCTCTTCCCCAAGTGCAGGGTGATAGTGCACCATGGGGGCTCTGGGACTACGAACGCCTGCGCCAAGAGCGGGGTGCCCTCTGTGGCGGCCCAGCTTGCAACCAGGGAGTTTCTCAAGCGAGGCTCCTTTGGGTATTTCAAGGGCAACGAAAGGAACCCAATCCGTATTTTCAGAAGCAAACCAAAAATGACGACAAGAGGGGAAGCGGGGCAGAAGGTTCCCATGAACCAACATGCCGCAACCGAACAAAGAGGGGGGTGTCCGATGTCCCTTTTGGACAAGGAACATGGAGAGTGGAAAGAAGTCGGAACGAATTCTCTTTGGAAGCGGATGCTTGGAATGCATAACAGAACCACACAGAACTGCAGGAAGACACCCTTATTGTAATGTTGGTAGGATTTTGTGTGGCGGTGTTTCGCAACTGTCCAAGCTCTGGACATGTCCGGGATTCCCGAAATGAAGTTCCCACAATCCTGAAACATTGGAAGTAGCATGAGTGCTCAATACCTAATTCATTCAGACGTTGAAGATATGCACCCATGGTACGAACCTCTAGTTTCTGGCTGAATTGGCCATTGGGTGCGGGTTGATTCTGGGAAACGTTCACACATGTGTCCTTGCAATTTGGAATATTATTTTATACGTACCCCTGGGTGCTCTTGCCCCAGAGACACCGATTTATTCCACGCTTCGGTAGGTAAATCATTCTTTAGAGCTCAGATGGCTATGAATGTTCATTGGAATGCCCTCAAACATGGTTGCAGCGTTGCGTAAATCCAACTATGCGCTTCTGATGTCCACCACAGGGCCCAATTCACACCCAGGTGGCGTTCCACGTGTGGCAAGTGAAATAACTGCGTGCACGTGGAGACGCACGGCCATTTAGTTCCCTGTGTTGAGGTTTTGGAATCCTCATGTTTTGCACACAACATGGAGTCCACTTGGGCCAAAACGCGGGTCATAGAATCAACATGATGAACTCCACAACATCAGGTGACGCCGGTGTTCTATGACCAGTTCCCCAACGCTCGACTGGTGCAGAAGTTGGGCGTCGGCATTGGACTCACGAAAGGCTTGAACAAAATCACAGCCCAAGAGCTCGCCAACGCCATCACAAGTGCAGAGGCTCCAGATGCGCGCCAGAAGGCAAAGGGGACATCAGAAGGTTTCTCCACCGCTTGAGTGCTTTGAGGATCCCAGGTGTGTTTCCAAATTGGCGAATCCCGAAAAAAAGGAAAAGAAAAAAAAGGAAAGAAAAAAGCGGGTTCCCCCTGTTTCCTTGCAAGACATCCAAAAAAGGGTTCAATCAGAAGTCACACCATTCTTGCATCATGTTTCCCGGCGGTCTCACTGTTTCTCCTAAAAGTTCCTTTGTTGTAGGTTTTAGGTACGCTTTCCTTTTTGTCTTCTACGTTCATTTCCCCTGCAAGTGTCATTTTGTGTGGTTGTCGAAGCTTCTTCCCTTCTTCCTTTCTTCCCCCACATGTTTCCTGTTCCACTACTCTAAGATGGATTCCACTGGCCCCAAACCACTACCACACACGTTCGCGCCCGGACCCCCACCCCCCGAAGGTGACCACAGAGATTAAGCAATATCTACAGCCACCATGAATCGACCCGCGGATATCTACTACATCATGTGTTCCCTTGGGCTCGGTTTGGCTCCACTCGCGAGGCTTTGGAGCTGGCGGAGAAGGTGACCCAGGAGGATGGGCCCGCACGCCTGGTTCTGGAGATCAAGAACTTCCTCCGGGACTTTGTGGACACCGGGGCCTACGGAAGCCCAGCGCACTATATCAAACGGCTAAAGGGCTTCAAACTTTAAACGGCTTTTGGCGGCGGATCGCAAATGCGCAAGAGTCGCTTATCTGTGTTGCCGCACGAGCTTTCCAAAGCTGCTGTGGCTCAAACCGCTCGGGTAGCTTAGGCGTAGGGGCGCTAGGAACAGTTCTGGTTCACCATATCGACTTGTCGTCCACCAGGAATCTCGCACTGATTCTCCCCAGGCTGTTCAGTGTTTGCTCTTCAATGTGTGTGTGTGTGTTGCTTGTGGTGCATTGGCAAAGTCCTCCGCATCTGCCGGGCTTTGCCCATTGTAACTTTTGTGGCACACTGCAGTCTCCTTCTCGCATTTGCGGCGGGGGCTTTCGCCTGTGCAGCTGTCTCTCGTCTTCACGGCCCCGCAGCCTATTCAGGACACCTGGAGAAACATGATGGCTTTGGCCCAGATTCTCGGGGAGCGTTCGGCCAGACGATGTTCGCCCTGCGCAACCACCGTGGCCTACTTTGTCAGTTTTAGTCTGACTTGCGTCAAGGAGGTCTTCTCCGTGGCCCAAGTCATTTTGGACGTTGTTTTGGAGGCTGCGTCGCTGTCTCCCATTCGGGATCCGAATCCAAAGGAATGCTTTGCGATGGCTCACTTGCTTCGCTCAAGGCGGCATATCAATGGCGTTTTGAACCCAGCAGCTTGGCAAACAACATGCCTGCCTTGTGCTCTTCCTGATGATCGAGTTGATCTCGTCCTCTAGTCTGCTTCCCCCCTCGGGATTTCAATCTGCCCGCCCTGTTTTTGCTTGGCACAAGGCTTCTTTCAGGATGGTTTTGCGCCGACCTCCTGGCCGGTGCGTCGGTAGCTGACAAAAAGGGCTGGCTGCAAGGTCAGCTCTTTGTAGTGCAATGTCCATTGTGCTTTTGGAGACCCAGCCTCTGTTTCTTCGATGGATGATGTCACCCAGGAGGCCCTAGTTGCATCGCATCGAGGAGAGAGCAAATTGGAGGTTTCCCAGCACCAGCGGGCCAGTTACTCAGTTGTCAAGTTTCCCAAATGGTGCGCAGGAACCCTGTAGAAAGCAAAAGTAGTTTCTCAAAAAGGGTCTGTGCGCTTCCATGTTATATGCGCTTTCATGTTTTACCTTTTGGGAAGGTCATGTGCAGGGTTAACAGCTGGTTTGCATAGAAAGTTTCGCGGTTGGTTGGCTCCTTGTCTTTGGGGTTGTTCTGTTTTGGGTGTGTTTTTGCTCATTCGTCTAGTGGGTTCCACCCCTCCTTCCGTTTTTTTCCACCAGCAACAAAGGGGCAGGTCCTTTTTCTATGACCATTGGGCAAGCAAGGAAGAGACAAAGAAAACTGGGCCAAGAGGGAACTGGCAGACACGCGCTGGGCGTGCTGCCCAAGTTTTTGGCAAAAGTGAAGTACGGTCAGCGCCAGTGGCTCCAGGAGAATGATCCAGAGCAACTGGTGACCATATTTTTGCTGGACAACACCGGACAGGCGAAATCCTGTAAATGCCCGGATTAGCCACCTAGCAAGTTCTACAGGATTTTGCCCATCCACATATCTGTTTGTTCTTGATTTCGGCGATGGCCAGCGAAGCAGAAGAGCTGTTTTTGCGGCCATTCGTTTGTGTTGGCAACATCCCAGCAGTTTGTCCTGCGCTGAGTGGCGGATCGTCAAATCAAAGGTGCTGGTGACATATGCAAAGAGTGGCGGTTGAACGCTGTGTTCCGGATTGCCTGCATGATAGGTTTGGAGTTCCTGCAGTTCTTGTGCTGTAATCATGCACCTCTGAACGTATACGCCTAACATCTTTAAACTATACAAACTATATGTAAGGCCACAACGATGTAGAGCACAGAGATGGCTAAGCATTCACGCACAGGTTTGGGGACTTTTGCGCCAGGAGATTGAGACACCCACTTCGACCAAGACCGGAGCACCTTGGGCAGCCTTGCTGTGGACAAGCACTCGCCTCCTGCCTAAACTCCGAGCTTGTCCCGTTCATAAGCTCACTTCCTGAGTTCATGAACTTTAGACTTTTTGGGAAGACCATTTTCGCGGGAAATCTAAAGTTTGGACTTTTTTTGGGCCATCCACTCAGCAAGTGAGTAGGTGTCCTGACGGCCGGTTTAGTACAATATAATATATTTTTTAGTTGGAATCCACTGGGTTTAGTTTGTTTGTGGCTGGTAGCCATTTACCAGATCGATGCGTCGCAAGGGGCATGTAGGATCCCATTCAAGGCTAGCTTTCTCGAGAGGACCCATCAGGGGATGGGTGTTACTCACTTTGTCTACACCTGCGCGACCCCAATTCACCGCCCAGGGATCATGACCTCCACAGGGAATCTGTCCAGCTCCACGAGGTAGCAATTGAGCGCGCAAAGGCCCAATTGACCAATTGAAGGGGGTGCAGATGCGGTGAAGATGCTTCGCATAGAGGTCATTTCCGAGAAAGTAGTAGGACTGGCGGTCAGATGATGAAAATGTGTAAGTGTACTTGTGTGGTCGGGTACATGTGCGTTGATTTAATAATTAGATGGTGTTTTGTTGTTGAATTTGGTTCACATTTGTGTGTGTGTGTGTTGTGTTGTGTTGTGTTATGAATGTGTTGCTTATTTGTTAAATTGTTGATGTTTAACGCGAATACAGATTTGTGCATTGAATTGTCCATGTGTTAATTGTGTGTTGAACTTATTTATTCACGTGTAGTTATTCATTGATTCGCTGTATGTTTTTTTCGGGGTAGCTGTGTGTTGGACTCATTTGTTCATGTGTAGTTGTTCATTGTGTGTTGGTGTTTAGGATAGTTTCTTGTTGAACTCACTTGTTCACGTGTTCAATGATTTGTGTTGTTGTTTCGGGTAGGGCATGTTGGCAAGGCCGACGTGACAACTTGAGGCCAGAAGACAAACACCCTGGGAAAGACGCACTGGTTTGTCCTGGGAGATATCCAAACTGGTCGGTGTCCCTATGGTTTCCCTTCAAAACCTTGAAGCGGTGCCTCAAACAAGACATCTCCTGTCATTTGCATTTGCTGTGTGCTCTCTCAGCACGTCCATCAGTTTCTAGACAAAACCCGCACTGCGCAACAAAGAGACGCAGACGCGTCCGTTTGCCAGGTGCATGTCCCCTTACGCGGGTCCCTTCAAAGTCGATCGACCATTTGAACATGTTCTTATTTGTTTGTTTGCTGGAGGTCTGGGACTTGCCATGAATCGCTGTTCGTGTGTTTGGGTTATCTCGTTTTTGGGGCGGCGAAGGTCTCACGCAGATGGAAATCAAGCACGGGTTGGCCAGGATGGTTCGGCTCTGATTCATGTTGCCACTCAAAGGCCAAACATTAGCGGGCGTGATTTTGCCCAGTCCATATGGGGTGGTGATGAGAATTATGGACCCGGTCAATATGAAGCCCTATGGTGTTTGGCTATGCAAAATGGGTAACACCCTCAAAATGGTTGGAAGAAACATCCACATCAGGTAAATGAGATTCACCAAAGGGTCTCCAATTGCACGGGCATTGTATGTCGCTCAGCTGTTCAGTGCTTCGGCGCACATCATCACACCCAGAAATGCCTTTTCCAGGGAGTATTGTCCTTCTCAGTTTTTCCAAGTTCGATGCCTTCTTCGCCGGGTGTCGGAAACATATGAGAGGGTGTGCAACCTCACCCGGGATCCTTTTCATCAAAAGCCCTTGCTGTTGGTTTGTAAACTATTTCGATTTAATCAGAGAGTCCCTCAGCCTGGCCCAAGACAATCTTTCCGAGGCTTGCCACTTCACCAGGCCTGGCTGAGTGAGGGTTTGCCCCAGTCTATTGTCAGATTGAGAGGGACACCGGGTCTACTGCGATGAACTCCAGGTGCTTCCTGTTTTTTCCAGCTTCCGTGCTAGAAATGACTCCCCATGTTCCAGGCGGCTCAATTGGGTCGCGTTCACCATGGTTAGATGTGTGTGTGTGTGTGTATGTATTTTTTTGACTATCCTAAGAGGCTCCGCTCCCTACACCAAAGGCAACCAGAGAGGCCGTGCCCTTTGTTCCCTCATTTCGGGATGACGAGCATCCCCTGATCTCCTTACTATTTGACGAAAGGCTCTGAAGGAAGCTTCGGAGCACCAGTGTGATGTGTTTTGGTTCGATGAAGTTCGGCTTCCCTTGGCCACCTGGTCCACAAACCTAGCACACAGCACTTTGGGCTCAAATCGCTTTTTCGTCGCGCTTCCGCCATGGGGCGTCGCATCACCATCGTCGTCGAAGGCTCCCGAGGTGACTGGCAGCCCTCAGTCGCTGGGGGCGCCGCCCTGTCCCGGGACTGGGGCGAGAGCCATAAGCTCAAAACGTCTGATTCCGGTATCTGATGTTGATGTTCCTTGGAGTCCCTTTTTTGTTTGCCTTTGGGTTCGCTCTCATTTGGTGTAGGTTTATGTGGGACTCCCTTTGGTATCTTTCTGATTTTGGGTAGGTTCCCTTTGAGCACGTGGAGGGCAGTTTGACAATGGATTTCCTGTTGAAGTGACCCCTGTCCGGTGCCACAACTAGTGTAAACTAGCAACCACCTTCTTTGGTGTCCCCTTGGGGTGGCCAAACTTGGGGACGTTGAGAAAGAAGGCGGTTTGCTTAAGTGAGACCTATAGGAGTGGTATGCGAGGCCTAAGATCCATATCCCCTTGAATCCCTGGGGCATGGAGTTGAGGAAGGGACTCCGACCCCCTTCCCTTGACCGCAAAAATTGGAAATAAAGAGACCCCCAACACGGTGTCCACTTCTCAAAGGATTCAAAACGTGTATCCTACTGTTTCAACAAGCACATGATTGTTTCCGCTTTAAAGTGTCACTGTCAAATGGAAACATGACAGTCGCATGTGTAGTCATGTAAAACATGATGTCCGGCAAAGGGTCCAACAAATTGAACCTGTTTCCACCTGCATGCCAGGATTTGTGGAAGTATTGGGTGGTTGATGTTTTGCGATTTTGTGCTTTTGTCTTTTGGAAACCAAAAGCCCCCAGGGTATGTGTCCAAGTAGTGGGACCGGACAAATCGAAGTTCCTTATCCCTTGGAGTTGAAAACGGCCTCACACAGATCGTTTCCGCTTCAGGAGGGCTTCGAGGTGCAGCTTCTGGGTCCTCCGGATGTGAAGGAACAGGCTGAGCGCCATGGAATGACCTTCGTGGAGACTTGGCCCATGTCCTCCAAGGAGATCGACTCGACTCGACGAGGGTCGTACTAAATCACTGAAAGTGAGTCCTTTCGTTTGGGGAATTTCTGTGGTTGCTGACTAGCCAACCCCTCTGGTTGCTAACCAGGGATCGTGATTGGATGTGGAGTCGTTGCATGTTGAGGGTGGTGAGGGGTTCTCAAATGGGTATTTTTTTCCTTTGGGCTCGTTCCCGGACGTGATGTTTGGGAGCACTGTGTTGACAGCGTCAACGGGAAGCCAAAAAAAGGAAACCTGCATTTTGGGTGGTTCCTTAAAAACACACCCTCATATTCCCGTTTAACTGGTCGTGTGAAAAAGCCAACCTCCAAGAGGCGATATGTTGGGAAGATCCACCCAGCTTGAAAGATACAATCAGCAGTTTCATGTGGCCAGTAAAGGCATTCAAGGTTGAGTGAACAAACACGAGTCCCTGATTTCCCAGGTTGAGATCTCAGAGGAGGGAACTTTGGAATTGAGGGGGGGGTGGGTCATCAAAAGCTGCAAGTGCTGTCGGCCAGCTACCAGTGCTACCCTAGTGTTTTGTTTTAAGTGTTTGGCACCCCCGCCACCCAGAAAAGGCAGGAAATAACAAACACCGAAAGTCAAACCCAGGTCGTGGGCTTGAAAAACACCATGGGGCCGGGTGAGGATTCTGCTTTCGGCGCCTGAAGAATCTGCGCATTGGTGTGCATTGGCACGCGTTGGTCACGTGGAAGGGGTGGAACATGAAAGAAATTTCTGGGGATACCCCCCCTTTCAAATTTCATTTGTAAAGGTGGTGATGTCCCCGTTGTTCCAGCTAGTAATTGGAGCGTGTTGAACTTGCCTGGCGGGTTTTGGATGGTTTTGGTTGCTCAAGTAACTTTGAAACTTAAGCAAGCCAACTCCTGGCAAAGTGACCTCTTGCGACAACCTTCACAGGCAACATCTACGACGCGGCTTACATGCAAAGTGACACGCGTCGCACAGCAACCGCAAACGGGTTGGGCTGCTCACAAGTTCTTTCTCCAAGAACTTGGCTCTGAGTTCCCAGCAAGGGTGCGCCCGAAAAGCACCCCCACTCTGAGCCGGGCAAAGCTAAAATTGATAATTATGCTGCGCGGGAAACCCACACCAGAACCAACGCGGGGCATCTAAACAACCTACTTCAACGTGCAGGGAACAGCAGAAGCCACACTTCATGGCGCTAAGCTTCAACGCGGTAGCATATCATCTTGACGCCCCACAAATGTTTGAGCCAAAGCGCCAATCCAATTCCACGCAAGCAGGCCTGTAATTCGGGCACGCCGCCGTGCCCGAATTGCAGGCGGCGTGCCCGAATTGCACGTGGCAAAGCCTGCAATGACAATCTCGGGCCTAGGAGCCGTCGCAAGAAAGGTTTTCAAAAGGCTCCAATTCGGACACGCCCAAGCCCTCACAAACGCAGGGCATGTCGAACATGGAGCCGCTGCTGAATTCTGAGGAGGTGACGAAGGTTTGGCTCCAGCCTTGCCCTGCCCAGCTCAACAATCATCAAGGGCTCCAAGATAATGAGTGGCAACGGTGACCACTGCATCGCACGCGGCAGCCTTTCTTTCTCTTTTGCCTCAACTATAAAACTCTCCATGATGCTCGTCGTTGCACAAAGGAAGCACGTATCAGTTCTGGAGAGAATGGCAGAACCTGCCTAAAAGACATTCATATATTGCCGCCTTGGATGCTGCCGTTGCAAAACACCCTGAAAAAGCACCTGCCAAAATAATCGAAAACTTTCAAACCGCTCAGCGCGACATGGTCGAGCAAGCTAGGTGTAACTGGCAAGGCTCCACGAAAGCGAACAAGAGTCTTGCCACGCAAGCTACTCCTCGGAGCAATTACAGCTGCAGTGTCACTGAGCGCTGCGTCGTTGGGATAACTGTGCGCTTTCTCTTGCTGCCAGTGCCTCCCCCCCCGCTGGAAATGGAAATCTTTCATTTTGACCCCCTCCCCCCCTTAAAGGGGTGGTACGGGGGCGAGGCTTGATTGAAACAATACATCTAAAAGCAACCGGCTTCAGAACTTCACAAGCCCTTTCTGCATCCTTTAAGGGCAGGGCGATCAGGCGGGAAGGGCAGGCTTTGAGACCACGCTTTCGAAGGAGTACGCGACGACGCCTGAGAATGTGGAGGCATTCACCCAGCACCTTGGCCAAATGCAAGTCTAAGTGCGTGTTTGTGTGTGTGTGTGCGCTTACTTGTTTTTTGGAGGGTATCCTTGTTGGGGTTGGTGTAAGTGGAAGCAAAAGGAAAGCCACCCTTTTCAAAGGTTCCTATTTTGCATACCCCATTGTTGAGCG